ATATGACAACACAGATGATAAAGATAAAAGAAAATGGATAATAAAAGACAACTGGCAGAACAATTTCAGATTTAGTAAAAATAATGATATTATTAAAAGTGAAAAATGTTTGGACTTATTAACAGAGAAAGGAGTTTATCCGTATGACTATATGAATTCAATGGAAAAGTTTGAAGATGAAAGTTTACCAACTAAAGATATGTTTTACAGTAGATTAAGCGAGGATAATATAACGGATGAAGACTATGAAAAAGCAAAAGTAATATGGAAACACTTTAAGATTAAAAACATGGGTGAATATCACGATTTGTATTTGAAAACAGATGTTTTATTATTAACTGATATTTTTGAAAATTTTAGAGATGTATGTATTCAAGATTACGGTTTAGATCCAGTATATTATTACACACTGCCTAATTTTGCTTTTGATGCTATGCTAAAATTAACTGGTGTTGAAATAGATTTAGTTTATGACCAAGATATGTATGAAATGATAGAGACCGGACTTCGTGGTGGGATGACACAGACTGCCTGTAAGAAAGTAGAGGCAAATAATATTTATATGGGCGATGATTTTGATGAAAGCAAAGAAAGTAGTTATATTAATTATTTTGATGCTAATAACTTATATGGATTAGCAATGATACAAAAACTGCCATACAAAAATTTAAAGTGGGATACTAAAATAACAGAAGATGATATTTTAAACTATGCTAATGGTAATACTGGATACATCTTAGAAGTTGATTTAGAATACCCTAAAGAACTGCACGATTTACACAATGACTATCCAATGGCACCTGAAATTATGAATGTTAAAGCAGATATGTTATCAGATAAACAAGTTGAAATTTATGAAATACTGAATAAGAAAAAACCTAAAGATGAAAAAACATAAATTAATATTGAATTTAAAAGACATTCAAAAGTATGTAGTCCCTATTAGAACTTTACAGTTTTATTTAGAACACGGAATGAAACTAAAGAAAATACACAGAGCAATAAAATTCAGTCAGAAAGAGATATTAAAACCTTACATTGAATTTAACACTGAGAAAAGAAAGAATGCCAACAATGATTTTGAGAAAGATGTTTACAAATTAATGAATAATGCCGTGTTCGGAAAAACGATGGAAGACAAAAGGAAACACTTAGATTTTGAAATAGTGAGTGATGAAACAAGATTTATGAAATGTGTTAATAATCCATCATTTAAACATAGTCATATTATCAGCGATGATTTAGTAGGAGTTGAGAAACAAAAAGCACAATTGAAATTAGATAAACCTATATTCATTGGAATGAGTATTTTAGATTTGAGTAAGCAACATATGTATAAGTTTTATTATGATGTTATGAAACCTAAATACGGAGATAATATTAGAATGGTTTATACTGACACTGATAGTTTGGTATTTCATACTAAGACTGATGACATTTATAAAGATCTTCATGATATTAAAGATGAAATTGATTTTTCAGATTTTCCTATTTATCATAAATGCTATGATACTACTAATAAAAAGACGTTGGGTAAATTTAAGGATGAATGCAGTAGCAAAATTATTACAGGGTTTATTGGACTTCGTCCTAAGTGTTACGCTTTTCAAATCTATGGAGAAGAAAAAGAACATAAGAAATGCAAGGGCACAGCAAAGCACGTAGTGAGGAGGCAACTGACATATAAAGAATATGATAAGGTTTTACAAACTAATGAAGTTATACATAAATCATTCAATAGTATTAGAAGTAAAAACCATAAAATTTATAGTATTAGACCAACAAAGATTAGTTTGAATAGTTATGAAAATAAAAGATACTGGACTAATACAGGTGATAGTTTAGCATATGGTCATTATTCTATTGAAAATAGAATAATATGATGACATAGTCATCACTGGAGAATTAAAGAGATGGTGACTTAATGTAGTAATGAAGATACACGCAGAAATAAAAGAACGAATAGAATTAATAAAAGAAATGAGAAAGGTAAAAGAAGACTATGAAGATGAAAGAGATAAATATGCTTTGCTAGATGTTAAATACTTTAAAACTAACAAGAAAGACATTTATGAAGGGTTTAAATCATGCCTTGAATTAGAGCATGATGAGACGCAGTTGAAAAAAGATTTTATTGAATTAATAAAAACTTGTGAATTAGCAGGTGAAAGTTCCGTAAATTATGTGTTTAGTTTTGACGGAGTGGTCAGAGGATGTGAAAGACTTATAGAAATACAAAAACAAAAAATATCTCATGTACTTCGTTAAAAATGACTTAAGGAAATAATGACTCAATATATTATAGTGAAATGTTGTTTAACTATAACAAGTGCGAATGCTGTAAAAATACAAAGAATGATGTTAATATAACATTGTATAAGTTATTACCCGACAATGTATGTAATAAAATAAGTGAATATAATGTATATTGCAATCAATGCTGTATAACAAGAGACCTTGAAAAGTTTTTTGTTGAAGAACATAAGGATAAGGGATATACAAAGTTTCAATTACAATTAAAATTCTTTATGCGACACCAAGCAAGATTTCCTATACACTTTTACCAGAAGATTTCCATAAAGTCATTTGAACATGAAATTGATGAATTCTTTAATAATATAGATTTAATTAGGAGGTTTGGAGGAATAAACGCAATTAAACCATACAAAGCATTTGTCAAAAAATACCGTTATTTGTTTGAATGGATTGATTGGCATTTATTAGACAAAGATAAAATAAATGAAGTCTTGAACGAATTTAGAGTAACTGAATATAGTATATGGTATTACTACAACACTAAATATAAAGTATGTCTATTAGTTAATTTGTTTTTCTGGGAATATATTTATTCAATAATAGGAAAAGACAATATCAAATATATAGATGAAGATGATATAGGTAAATATGTAGATTACATATTTGAAGACATATTGCCTGACTATTATTTTAACCCATAAACCTTACAATTAAAAACATTGTAAGATTTATGATTTGGATTTCTAGATTTAGTTTCAAGGAATATTGATTATATTTTCAAGGAAGTTTTACTAGTAAAACTAGTATAAAGAAAAGCAACATCTGAAAACAAATAAGCATAAAAGAAATTTAGAAATGAAACAGGCAGAAGAAAATTAACATTATTTTTATTAATAAATATTTTACATAAAATTGTATAAGGTTAATATGTAGAATAACTTCTTAACCTTATATAATATTTCAATGAAGTAAAATTATTTTCAAGGAATTAGATAAGGTTAATGAAAAAGAATAATGTATTAACCTTATTTAAAATTTGAATTATAAACGTATATTTTATATTTTGCTAAGTTGTTATGAAAATTATTTTACTTCGCTCAACATCTGTTCTTGTATTTTTGGGGGGGGCTGCCACGCGCAAAAAAGATGCCGCGCAACACGCTCCTTTCCCAACATGGCGAGCTCACAGCCATCCCCAGCCACGATGCCTGACACCTCACCTTGGCATGAGCAGTCGCAGCCTAGGCAAGCGGGGAGTCTCAGGCGGAAGCCGCGTCCGACTGTCACAGTTCTCACCAAAACTTGCCAGCCCAGAATGCTTTCAGCCGGTGGAAAGCGAGTGGTTTCGGCGGGGCTCCCCTGACCAAGTCTATCCAATCATTCATACCTCCAAAGGGTCGACAGACGCTACTTCTGGCCCTTTGGCTTGATCCTGCCAGATGCGCAGCGCTGAGCCTGGCTGCAGCCCGGTTTTTGCTGCGCAAGGCGCTTGCAGGGTGACACCTCTGAATAGGCAAAGGTGTCAGGACTAGAATCCAGCAGAGCTCGGTCCCGAGCGCTACCAAGTCTTGCAATTCCAAGTGCAGCCTTGCTCCGGGGACCAATTGGACACCCCCTTCCCTAGCGTCAAAACTGGAATGGATGCCCGGGGTGTGTGAGCCTGGCCTTCCAGGATGCAAGAAGCCAGCTCCAGATGGCAAAACGGGAAGCTCAGCGGCTTGGCTTCTCAGAGTGGTGCGCTGGTCGCCGCAGGTGCCTGGGCAAACTTGGGTGTAGGCGACGCGTATCGCAAGACCTCCTTACTGGAACTTTGCAGGTCGCTCAAACGGGAGGCTTTGGGTCAAGCGCCTTAGCTGCAGGAGTGGCGGCGACTGAGATGTGACTCTGTGGGTGCCATTTTGTGACACCGGCTCCGTGAAGGTCCAACACCGACCTGGTAGAAACGTAAGCGTTGAATCAGCTTGGCGTCGATTGTTCGCGAGTGGACGGATAGATTTGTGAGGATAAACCAATCCCTCCATCATTTGGGCCAATAGTGCTCCCAGTTTTGAGACATGCAGGATAAGAGAGAGAGAGAGAGAGAAACAGAAAATCAATCAATTTCCTGGAAACCACCATGGGCCATGGGCTGAGGTTTTTAGAGATCGCGGTTCAGCTTCGGAGGCCATGTGTCGGCTTGGCCGCAGGAGCTGGCTTTGCCAAGGGCTCACCATGTCTGCTGGCATCGTGCTATGGCATGGCAAGACTTATGCTTTTTGAATGAAGCTCCCCACGCCTGTCGCTCTGGAAAGAGTTCGAATGCCCTTTTTGTGGATTTCATGTAATCTTCCCTTGTAGTTGTTTTTTTGTACTCTTTTAGTACTCTTTCAACACAGGGGTGGATCCACAAAACCGCATCCAAACACTTGTCATGCAGCCCATCGGAAGGAGCAACCTGTACGGCACCTCGTCTCGCCAGTCTTTGTTGGCGCGACGGGCCAGTGCAGTCCCTTGGCGGAAGTGGGGGTGGTCACCCCACATCGGAAGGAGGGTGCTGCTTCTGCACCGGCAAGGCCTCCTGTCGCCAGAGTTTAAGACACTTGGCCCAGCAGTTGAGTGTCAACCGGGTCACTTCCGGCCTTTGCTCCACTGCCTGGAAATTTGGTCGCAGAAACCATATGTGCCACCAGACCCCGAAAAACCGCGGTCTCGCCTTCGAACCGCGCTCCGTCTCGCTGATCGGATCGAAGCCGCGGACGCGCGAGGCGGAGCTGTGGGAGATGACGGAGGCGGTGGCGGGCGCGCTGCAGCGCGCGGAGCTGCGGCTCATGGAGCGCGCGGAGCTGGGGGTGGGCGCCGAGGGCGTGGGCTCCATGGCCGCCTCCATGGCGGAGGCGGCCGGAGTCCGGGTACCCTCGGGCGGACCACGGGAGACCGAGAAAAGCAAGACAAATTGGGACTTGGAGGTGGTGATGGTGCTATTCATGTGGTGAACATGGGTCCACAATCTTTGAGGGTGCGCCTTTTTTTTTTGGGGGGAAGTCCTGATGCCTGGATTCGACAGGAAGCCGAAAGGAAGCCGTTGCCACTTTGGGAATCCGTTATTGTTCAAACAAACCAATGTCGGTCGGTCTAGTTGATGGATGCTTGGATGGCTTGCCTACTTGGAAGCTGGAAGCTGGCGTTGAGGGCAACGTGCTTTAGATGGCTCTCCTGGAAGCCCTTTGGGCGCTCGGTGCTGCCAACCATGTGCTGAGCACGGGATGTTAGGGTCCACACATTTTTCAATGCAGGTCTCAGGCGGCCTTGCTGCCACTGCAGAGACCCCCCCCCGGGGGGGGGGGGGGCCGGCCGTGACGTTGGGGCGGCTGGAGGCGGAGGTCGGCGGCCTCCTGCAAGTTGCCGGTGTGTTGTTGTTGTTGTTGTTGTTGTTGTTGTTGTTGTGTGTTGTTGTTGTTGGTTGTTGTTTTTGTTGTTGTTGTTGTTGTTTGCTGTTGCTGCTGCTGCTGCTGCTGCTGCTTGCTGCTGCTGCAGCTGCTGCTGCTGGTGTTGTTGTTGTTGTTGTTGTTGTTGTTGTTGTTGTTGTTGTTGTTGTTGTGGTTGTTGGTTGTTGGTTGTTGGTTGTTGGTTGTTGGTTGTTGGTTGTTGGTTGTTGGTTGTTGGTTGTTGGTTGTTGGTTGTTGGTTGTTGGTGGTGTTGTTGTTGTTGTTGTTGTTGTTGTTGTTGTTGTTGTTGTTGTTGTTGTTGTTGTTGTTGTTGTTGTTGTTGTTGTTGTTGTTGTTGTTGTTGTTGTTGTTGGTGTTGGTGTTGGTGTTGGTGTTGGTGTTGGTGTTGGTGTTGGTGTTGGTGTTGGTGTTGGTGTTGGTGTTGGTGTTGGTGTTGGTGTTGGTGTTGTGTTGGTGTTGGTGTTGGTGTTGGTGTTGGTGTTGGTGTTGGTGTTGGTGTTGGTGTTGGTGTTGGTGTTGGTGTTGGTGTTGGTGTTGGTGTTGGTGTTGGTGTTGGTGTTGGTGTTGGTGTTGGTGTTGGTGTTGGTGTTGGTGTTGGTTGCTGCTGCTGCTGCTGCTTGCTGCTGCTGCTGCTGCTGCTGCTGCTGCTGCTGCTGCTGCTTGCTGCTGCTGCTGCTGCTGCTGCTGCTGCTGCTGCTGTTGCTGTTGTTGTTGTTGTTGTTGTTGTTGTTGTTGTTGTTGTTGTTGTTGTTGTTGTTGTTGTTGTTGTTGTTGTTCAATGCCCCGATTATCAGGGCGTCCTTTTTCCTTCCCTTTCTGAACATCACCTTCTTTGACCAGGTGGGTGATGGGTAAGGGCTAAACGGGGGGGGGGGGTTGTAGGTCCCTCGTAGTTCAGCAAGTCCCTCCACCTCATTGAGCTGAGTGGGTCTTTTGGGAGAGCAAACTAAATAACTCCAAGAAGTAAGAAATGACTGGTCCTGTCCTTCAGGTACAATCAATAGACTGATGTCAACCAGACTGATAATATTGCGATGCCTTGTTACATGAGTGTCGACATGTTTGATGAACAGGTTGCACTTATTGACCACACAAGCATCGCATACAAGGCAAGACGCCAGTGGCGGATAACATGGATCTAGTTTCAGCAGAGACTCAGGTGCTCACAGCCTCTGCAGTGGCAGCGATGGCAGCGTTTGCCGCGAGGACGGAGCCAAAAAGATCCAAAGGTTGCTCTTTGGGGCATGCTATCATTTGGCCGTACCTGCGTGGTTTGGGGCTTTGGCGAGGCCCAGGTCGCGCCAAACGCCGTGGGTTAGCACAATGATTTCCAAAATATGTCTTCAAGGAAGACGGTGCGGGCAAAGGGCCACATCCCACAAAGATGAGTGGCTGACATTTCCACCATGTGCGCAAAGTGAGGCCCATCTAAGAAAAGGCTTCGAGATGGTGCTTGCTTGCAGGACCGCTGCACAAAGAAGGGTCAAAGAACAGTTGGCAGCATCGGCGAAAGAGCAACTTGGCCCTCAAATCTGTAGATGCGTCCAGCTGATGAGTTACCGCGTGGCAATCAGAGACAGGCATCCCCCACCTGCCCTCACCCTCTCATCAGATCGATGCCATTGTGCTGTTCAGTCGAAGAATTGCACATACTTGGGGCAGTCGCAATCATTCAGTTGCAACACCTTCAATCCCTGCAGGTTGCTGGTAGAGATTGTTTTCTTGATTTTTTCCACGGTTCCGACAGATCCCAGGGACGAGCACCTCATGCATTTGCAGCTCGCCTGGCGTGCCGTGCTGCGACAGCACCCGGAAGCGGCGCCTTGAGCGGCACAGATCTTGATCGGCCGCGGGTCGCGAGCTGCGGATGCTCTTCTCCCTTGTGTCAGGGGATGGGCGCCAGGGGTTTTGGTCATGAAGTTTTTTGCCTTTTGCCAGGGGGCGGCAGGGGTTTTGGTAGAAACAGTTTTCGGGTTTTGGTTGGTCCGGTTTCAAGGCCGGCATCCCCTCCGATCATCGGATGCCGCGACGCGAGGTGATCGAGGCGAACTTTTTGGGTATGCCCATCAGCTACGAGAAGGTGAAGGAGCGGTGGCCCCGGCTGGTGGAGACACTCGGGATTTCAGAGGAGGAGGCGCATGCGATGCGAGTCCTTGGGCAGTTTGCAGTGCGAAGATGGACGGGAGAGCCGGGTAGAGCGAGCTCAGCAAGCCCTGGTGAGGCGCTGCGGATTATTCAGATGGATGCGACACCCTTGCTGGCAGCTTGCCAGATTTCAGCCCTTGATTGCCGCACGAGACGATGTAGAGTGTCAGAGTTCTGGGATCAGACCCCTGTCCTGCGTTTGACCCCTGTCCTTCTCTGGGACAGTTCTGTTTGTTCGCCAGCCAGTGCACTCGCCAAGCCACAAGCCTGTTCGGGTTTGCTCTGTTCGGATCTGTCCACAAAGCTTCGAAGACTTGGGCAAAATCCTTCCCCATGGTTCCCAGTGGGGATGGATTCGGATTGGCTCGATATGGGTGTGGCTCAAAATTAACCAGGAGGGGCAAACCGCAGGTTTTTGGTCTATGTTTCCACTTACCAGGGTTCCATCTTGGTACCGGTTTTTTGAGCCACAGCCATATGAACGGATCAAAGGATCCTACGCACCGAGGTGGAGTCTGATTCCGTCTCAGAGGTGTTGGCCCGCCTCGCTGCCATCAGCTCCAGAGACAAGGTGCTGTCGCACGGGTATGCCGGAGAAGCAATGGGGAAGCAAACGCGACATCCGAATCCCAGCAACCCCATGCATAAATACCCCCCGTCCGAAATAATATGAGCTCTTCGAACGAACTAGTCTGTGCCAGGGCTCAGGCCTTCCTTTGCTTCGCCGGTCAAGGCCTTGGAGCTGGTGGGGCGCAGCCCGTCGTTGCTGGTCGGTGGGGCCATGCACAAGGCCAGGGGAAAGAAAGAGGCGAACGTGGTGCTTTCAGTCACTATGCCCGACGCTACAATAACATGCGCCTACATGAGCCTATGTATTCGTATGTGTACATGTATGTGTATAAAGTGTATATAAAAATATAGACCTGCAGGATGCCGGAGCGAGATTGGCACACATACATAGCATACCATGGCACACCATATCAGTACAGTACATTACGTGATACTCGCAGGCAGACATACACAGACATACGGAACTACTGACATGCAGACAGACAGCCACACAAGCATACAGACATACAGACATACAGACATACCGACATGCAGACATACAGACATGTAGGCGCACAGTCATACAGACATAGCCGTTGCGTTGCAGATTGCATTGCATTGCATTATGTTGCTGCAGTGCATTTCACCACATTGCATTATGTCACTCTGCATTACTTACAGGCAGACATGCACACATGCATGCATACACACACACATACATACATACATGCATGCAAGCATACATACATACATACATGCAAGCATACATACATACATACAGTACATAACACAGCATAACAGAACTTAACATATAATAACATACCTACATAACATACATAACATACATAACATACATAACATACATAACATACATAACATACATAGCATACATAGCATACATAACATACATAACATACATAACCTACATAACCTACATCACATACATCACATACATAACATACATAACATACATAACATACATAACATACATAACATACATAACATACATACCATACATACATACATACATACCTACCTACCTACCTACCTACCTACCTACCTACCTACCTACCTACATACATACATACATACATACATACATACATGCATACATACATATACACACACATACATGCATGCATACATGCATGCACACATATACATACATACATACATACATACATACATACATACATACATACATACATACATACATACATACATACATACATACATACATACATACACACACACACACACATACATACATGCATACATGCATACATGCATACATGCGTACGTACGTGCATACATGCACACACACATACATATACACATATATATATATGTATACATATAGATACATCTATACACAAGCACGCCTACATAAACGCACACACACACATACACACACACACACAGATACATACATATACGTACATTCAGGCCTGCACACGCGCATGCACGCACGCACACATACACACACACACGCATACATACAGCCGCATGTACGTAGCTACCTACATACACACACACACACGCAGGCAGGCAGGCAGGCAGACAGACAGACAGAGACAGACAGACAGAAGGACATACATGCGTGCAACATGCATGCATGCATCTACACACGTGCATACATGCATATCACAGACTGACAGACATACAGGCAAACATGCGGACACACTCAGACAAACAAGCATACATTGATACATAGGTACATATATATATATATATATACACATAGATACGTAGATACATAGATACATAGATACACACACACGCATATATATATATATATATATATCACACGGAGTAGACTTGACACCTTCAACTAGAAGAGAGGAAAGGTAGGCCCTGGGGTGGGTGGGTGGGTGACCATACATATATATATATATATACATAGATATGCGGATACATAGATGCACGCATACATCGATACATAGATTCATAGACGCATAGATGCACAATTACATAGCAACCAAGTTTTATAGATGCACGCACATGCATACAAGCAAACATACATGCATGCGTACATGCATACATGCATGCATGCATACATACATTTGTACACAAGCACGCCTACACAAGCACGTGCACTCAAGCATACACATGCATACGTGCATGCACGCTCGCAAGCATACACGCATACACGCATACATATGTACGTGTACATACACATATGCATACATGCATGCATGTATGCATGTATGTATGCATGTATGTATGCATGTATGTATGCATGTATGTGTGCATGTATGTGTGCATGTATACATGCATACATGCAGCCAGACAGACAGACAAACGGTCGGACAGACAGACAGACAGACACAAAGATAGACAGACCGATAGACAGACATACATGCATGCAGCATACGTACGTACGTACATACATCACCATACAGTGATACATACACATGCGTGCATGCATGCTTGCATACATGCATACATGCATGCCTACATACATACGTACGCACGTACATACATACATAAATGCAAACGCATACACGCTCATGCGTGTATGATTATACGCATGAATGCACATATTACACATACTACGTACATATGCACGTACCTACCTACATACACGCATACACACATGCATGCATGCATACATACATACGTACGTACCTACATACATACATACATACATACATGCATGCATGCACATGCACATGCAAATTCACATGCTCATTCACTTACACATACACAGGGTCACATGCACATGCACGTGGACATGCATGTACATGCACGCACACACACATACAGATGCACACACACACATACACCGACACACAAACATACGCATAAGCATAAACATAAACATAACATGAACACATACATAAGCACACATACATAAGCACACGTACATAAGCACACATACACCCATATACATACATATACATATACATTTGCGTAGACGCATCGTTATGCATATGCACATGCCTTCTTTCCTTCTTTCCTGCCTTCCTTCCTTCCTTCCTTCCTTCCCTCCTTCCTTCCCTCCCTCCTTCCTTCCTTCCCTCCTTGCTTGCTTGCTTGCTTGCTTGCTTGCTTGCTTGCTTGCTTGCTTGCTTGCTTCGTTTCCAGCTGCCTACCTACCTACCTACCTGCATGGATGCATGGATATGCCGATGTTAATGGATGTGCTGGCTCAAGCGCTCGGCCCAACTTTAAAGCCTTCGTACCCGTCGCACAGCCACTGCCATGGCGCGGTTTGAGCAGGAGGCCCAGGTCATCCGCACTCAGCCGGCATTTGTCTTGGAGACTGAAGAGACCCCAGTGACGCACTGGAAGACCTATGACTTCTTCGAGGACACCCCCGTCGCCCGCGTGCCCAGTGCGGAGACGTGGGATGGCCTCGAGGAGCTCGACGAGCTTTGCATGGGTCCCGTTGAGAGCGAAGACTTTGAAGAGGCGACTATGACTCCAGTCCTGACATTCGACCCTTTCGAGCCGGCCTTGGAAGCAGCACCCCGCGCTTTGCGGATGGTGCCCTTTCCGGTGTCTGCCGAGAAGCCTCAGAGACCGGCCCAGCTGTGCTGGCGCCTGGACGGGCGCAAGCTGCAGAGCTCGGAGAAGCAGATGTTGTCCCCTGTCTTCCACCTGGAACTTCCATCCGACTCCAGTGCGCCTTTCCGTGTCATGGTTCTGGCCAAAGAGACCTGCGGCCGGAACCAGCAGGGCTTTGCGAAGGCCAAGGGTGTTGGACGCATCTTTCTGAAGTGCGAGTCCTCGCAGGCCGTCCGGGTGCAGGCGCGCATCACCGTGAGTGGGGCGAAGACGGAGACCCGCGGGCCTTTCCTCCACGACTTCAACGAGAGCTCCTGCTGCCCGCTGGGCGGGGAGTGGGGCCTGGCGGCGTTGCTGGACGCCACCAGGAGCCTGGAGGTCCAGGTGGAGCTCGTGGCCCCGAATTGAGTGAAAGACGCAGGGCATTTGTAAAGCCAGCCCTCGCGGTTGAAACATATGCACGCCTTGGTGCGCACTTTGGTGCGCAGGGCCCATAAGTGGCCTCAATCTTTAATCCTCCGCGTTTCGCAAGCCGCAGCTCTTGCAAGTGCCAACTTGCTGCAGCTTTCGCAGTGTACAGGGCTATCTCAGCTTCTGCCAGGTTGCTGTATAGTGCAACTCTGTGCAGCTGTCAGCTCCAGATGTCAAATCCGTGGAAAAGCCGTGGGCATCCACAACTTGTTTCGCTTCTGCTACGTGCCAGTTTGTTCTCATGACGGCCAGACTGTTTTTCTATTATTTTTTATTATAATAATAATAAAAAATAAAATAAAAAATACATTGGTTGACATTATTGAACACAACATGGAGTGATGTACGCCTGCATTGGCACAACCATGCAAGCACAAGGTATTACGGGCGTGCGGGGAGGCGAGCAATTGAGAAAGACCCTAGATGTGTTGATAGCAACTCTGCGAACATAAAGCAGCTAAGCATTGAAGAGGAGATGCTGAGCTGTTGGCCAGTTCCACCCAGTTTTTGCTAGTTCATGGATCCTCATTCGTTGATTGGATGCGTGTGCAGCAGAGAGAGTTTAGGCATCCGATGTCCCACAAGGCGTAGAGCTGACCTCCATGACATCCTCCGGGCATGAAGAGCAATGGGACGGCAACTGAAGCGTTTGCTTGCACTGCACATGTCATGCGCCCTGAGGCAGACAAGAACATGGCCGCGGCGTCCTTGATAGACGTTCTCTACGCGGGACGTTTGTACAAGGTGGGAGCTGCTGTGGTGCCCTCTCAATGATTGCCAATGATTCGGCTTGCTATTTGGGGTTGTCCAGGTGCTTGAGGAAGAGGGACGGGACAATGAAGGCAAGCTGGCCGAGATTGAGCTGCAGCATGGCCGCATTGAGTGGGGGCCGTGCTGAAAGTGCTGTCTGTGTCTGAGACCATTGCGTCTCTTGTTGAGTCATGAGCGCCGAGATCGGCCCAGGTGGCCGTGGGTCAAAAACAGGTACCCAAAATGGAACCTTGGTAAGTCGAAACAGGGACTAAAAACCATCGGTTCCCAGGTGGTTTAGTGTTGACCCATGCCCCTCCCCTCCCTGCCCCCCCAGCCCCCATGATTGTTGAGTCAGCGCCGAGATTGGCAGATCGGCCCAGGTACGCCGGCTTGCTCTCAGCTTTCCGGCCCTGCGTGGATCTGGTGCTCTCAGGCCTCACCGCCCGCGACGCCACCGACGCCACGCGCCGGCTCTTTCGGACGCTTCAGGCCGGCGCCTTCCTCACGGGGAGGGTAGAGAAGATGATCCCAGGAAATCGTGGGAAGAGGATGGGCAAAAGACATGTTGGCAATTGTTGGCAAACATTTGGCTACCTTTGGTAATGAGTAATAAGCGACCCTGTGTGCCCTCCGAAAGAGAAGAGTGACGAGAATGTGTCAGGATGCCGGTGAACCAAAGGACCCTTTAAACGCCAACCTCGTCTGCAGAAACCGGCAAGCAGAGTTGGACAAGTGACGAGTCTGACAACTAGATACTTGGGGTGGTTTTCCCCTTTATCTTCAGGGCCGTGCAGCACAGAAGCGTGGCTAGGAGAGTGCGCCGAATGAATCGATTCGCGTCCTACTGGGGCGAGTGGCAGCCGCTTGGCGTAAATCAGTTACTAAACGGTGGCGTGCTACGATTGGAACCACGTGGTGCATGGTGTTGAAAAGGCGGCCAATTCTTCTTTCAGGGTAGGAACACCAGGCTTAAACGGTTGCCCTCATTGCTTAGGACGCCGATGAGCCTTGGTCCTACCTTGCCGATCAAACCAGGGCAGGCTTCTCCATCGGAGGGCGGCTGGCTGCTCGGATGCTAATGACTTTTTGCGGCTCATGGCACGTGTGTCTGCCTGCCTCATGACAGTGGGGTGGTTCCTCAAGTGCTGCGTTGATTGGCAGATTGGCGTTGGATGCCTGAGGCGCTACAGCCTGCGCTGACGCAGAAGATCCTCCCGCCCCTGGGTGACATTCTGCTAATTGCCCTCGAAGCACTCACCTGACCTTGAGACCTGTGATGCATCCAAGGCACTCCCGGCCCATTGTGAATCACCTGCCCTCGATTTACACTCGCCTCTCCATCTTGGGTCCGCACGTGCCAAGTGCCGTGGCATGACACGGCAGAGCTTTGGTGCGCAGCGAGTGTAAGCACACGTTGAGCCGTGCAGAGCGCAGCTACCCAGGCAGCCACGTTCATCAGGCCCATCTGGCTGGTGCCCAGGGAATGAGGGAATGACCCCATGGTTTCCTTTAAGGGAATCCCAGGTTCATTCCTTGATTCCCTGAGCACCAGCAAGTCATTGCATTGAGTGGGATCTGTTTGAGGCATTGTGCGCATCCTGGACCAGTACCTGGATGTTGTGGAGCCGCACCTAGACAGGATCATGGAGCGGATGGACAGGATTGAGCCACACCTGCCGTACATCCTGCTTCACTTGGAGACTCGGTTTTTTGGGCGCGGACATCGAATGCCTTAAATGCCACTTGCTCAGGATGTGCTGGCCAAGCACTGTGGCCCCTTGCTTGACCACTTTGACCTGCTTCTGCCATATGCTGAGCTAGGCCCGGCATTTTACCACCAGAAACAGAGGGGGAATGTTCGCATGGATGTGTGCCAGGCCGCGCTCGTCCCACCCCTGACCTGGAGCGATGCTTTGATGAGCCGCAGATCGAGTCGGTGGAGGCGGGAATACGCCCCTGTAACCTGGGCAGCCATGTCAGCAGAGTTCCCTTTTTTGAGCATGCACACAAGCGGAGCAAATCCAGGCAACTCATCCATGATACCGCATGATACTGCATGTGGCCGTTAAACCCGCTGCTCATACTGCGTTTTTTTGGCCGCTCTTTTGCCCGTTTAGACAATAATTTTCAGAATTCAGAGGAAGCATGCAGTTGCGGTGAGGCGTGCGTCGTGGACAACCTGGTTGACGACTGGGAAGGCTGGCTGCGGCATTTGTCTCTGCGTTTTGCCGCGTTCCCGTTTCACCTGTTGCCTTTCGGTCGCAGGCGTCTTTCCTTATGTTTCACCTTGGGGCCCCGTTTGCTTTTCTGTTTGATCTGGGTGAGCCCGTAACAGTGTCAGCGGAGGTTGATTGTGCAGACCTTGTTTCAGTGCGCAAAGTCGTGAGCGCTGAGGTGCAGCAAAGGTGGAGGACGGCCCTGTGATCGGGCCTGGCCCACCCACCTCCCACGAACATGGCACCTGACTCGCTTGGGGCACCTTGGAGCCTTGGGGCTGGATCCAGAAATGGCCAACCCGGAATCAGAGCTTTTGAGATAGGTGACCTCAAGGTGCTTCGTGTCCAGGAGAATTCCTACCTTCCCAAGCTGCTGCCCTATGTCGACTTCCTGGTGCCGCACCTCGACGAGCTGGCGCCCCATCTTCCCCTGGCGCACCCGCCCTCCACTTAGGGATGCCCAGCCTGGGTCGAGCGTCACGCGTGGCACGGTGGGTTTTGGTCCTTGGTGCTGCCTGAGGCATTTGCCATATGTCCTGCCCTACATGGATGACTTGTTGCCCTACATCCAGTGCTTCACCCGTTTTCCGGAGGCTTCTTGACATGAAAGAGCCCACCGCTCTTGCGCCTTGCTGCCAGGGTGCAAGGCAGGCATTTGCGACTGGGCCTGGCTGAGGCATCAAAGAATGCCGATGTCCTCGTTGGATATCTTGGTTGGCTCTTGAGATTGCCTTTGATTCCAAGGCCGGAGAGGGACCGGGGCAGTCTTGGGGCAAGGCAAGGGGCAGGCCTAGTGTAAAGAATGGTGTATTTCTGTTCAGTATAGTGTCCCAATTGTGACCAGCAACCTGTATCTTTTCCATTTGTTGGCAATGTCAATATGCTGTTTCGAAGCTTTGAACATCCTGTATACATCCCAATGTGCCAGTTGCAAAGAGACAGGGCTGTGGGGGCAACCAACTTTAACCCCATGCTCATTCACGGAGCATGAATCAGACCCAAGCAGAATGCAGAGCTTATCTCACCGCCCTGTCTGCGCGGCCAGGATATTGTACGTCCCGGGGGTGCCTCGCCTCGTGTGCTGGATCAGCAAGCGGCTGCCGTAGGAGCCTCAGGAGCCACGGCCGGCCCTTCCCGTCGGCCGGCCATGACGCAGGCGGCGATTCGTCCGAGGCGCGGGGTCCCAGTCGACGCTGGGTGTTCAGAGCGAGGGCTCCGCTGCCCAGGCAGACTGGAGCGGGTCCGGAGGAGGCACGAGGCCGAGGAAGCGGCAGCTGGCGGCTGATTTCCAACGCCCCTTTTGGATGGACACGGCCAAAGCGGCGGAATCCGGCCTTCCGATTTCCGGCTGTGCGTTGCCGCGGTGTGCAAGGGCGCACCCCGGGCCAATTTTTTGAATGGTGGGCCTCTGCCCGCGGAATCTGCCGGTGCTGTCTCTAACCCTTTGCTTGCGTGTTGCAGGCGAGGGAAGCCAACAGGCCGCCCCTCAGGCGGAATTTTAGGATGCAGGCACAAGGTCTAGCACCAAGAAGCACCATGGCTGGCTACATCCTTTAGGCGCCTTCTGTGTTTGGCCCTGAATTTCTGCAGCGAGGCCTTGATGTCAAAGCAGCCAGCCGTAGCCCCAATTTGCCTAAGAACAAATGTTCACGACCGCCCCAGAAGGCGTCGTTTTCCCCCGCGCTCCGCGCACTTCCTGCGATGGTTTTGTATGCGAGGCAGTTGTAGAAGCGGTGAACCTCAAGGGTCGAAAAAGCCTGGCTTCGGCGTCAGTATTTCTTTGCCTTTTTGGGCATGGTGTGAGGAACGCCCTTTAGCTTTTGACGGCCTCGCATTCTTTCAGCGATCTTTCTTCGGCAGCGAGCCAGGCCTTTCCCAAGGCGTGTTTTGAAACCCCGATTTTGCGGGGGTTTCTTTCTTTCCTACCTGCGGGAGTTTGCTTTTTGTTTTTTTCCCTTCTCCAGTCGGGTAACCCTTAGTTGGATTGGCCTGGTAGCTTGGGGATCTGAATCTATGGCTTAGAGGGCAAATGGGTAACCGCCCACACACCAAATCACCGAGCTCCAAACCAAGCGGGTAAGCTGATCCAGGCACCAGGCCAACAAGCCGGGGGTCAGCGCCATGATGCCCGACCTGGATCGCGCCTGTGGGCGCGGGGCCCAACGTCCAGCCACACGGAAGGACGCTCGTGATGTGCGCACGCTTTTGGTTTCCTACGGCCTACGGGAGGTTTTTGCAAGGACTTCTTGCATATTCAAGTGGCAAACGGGGCCTGGCTTGATGTCCTGAACTGTGCCCATCAGGTTTCAGTCGGGTTTGGCTTATTGCACTTCTCCAATTTGCAGTTCTCGGCTTTGCGAGTGTGTCCGGTGTTGTCGTTAGATCTGGTCCGACGCGGCATGGCGGAGCCGATGGAAATCCAGGACTTCCACATGTTGAGGTGCAACTGGGTGTGCAAAGATGCCCAGTCAGGGTGCAAGAACGCGACCCATGCGGTCTGCTGGATCACCTCGTGCCAGCACGTTCTGTGTGACGAGCACGCCAGGAAGGCCTTCGGCCATGGGAATTCCTGCCCGGTGTGCGGCTTCAGAGACGCAAGGGTCATCAAAGCGAACCTGTCTAGCGAGGGCCGGGCACAAGCCAGAAAGGGCATCGTGCCAGGGCTGGCACCCTCTGAGATCATGGACTCTGCCGCGCTGAATGTGGAATTTTGGATTCGGCAGAAAGCCTTGACTTCTATTCAGTGCAAGCAGCGGTGCCTGCAGCTGGAGGAGCGCGCGGGTACCATGGCTCAAGCGGCGGAGGAGCAAATCCAGGCAGCGCATGTGAAGTCCAAGCGTCTGGAGGAGGAGCAGGTGGACCTGCAGAAGAGGCTAGACACTTTGGAGGCTGAGCGGGGGAAGGTCAACCATCGGATCTCAGGGCTGAGGAAGGAGATTTCTGATGCAGAGATGCGGTATGAGAGGGTGCGCAGCCAAGTGGGGGGTATGGAGGACGTGCTCTCCCGCCAGCATTCCCCAAGCCGCCTCCATTCGCAGCCCCTTTTCAACTTCCAGGGCGCCCGCCGGGGCGTCTCTGCCTCGCCCCGGCGGGAGGGCCGGGCCCACTGGTTTGCACCTGAGGCCTCCAGCCCCAGCCGGGATGTGCGCGACCTGGATCGCCTCGAGCGCCACCACATCGACCGCTTGGACCGGATCGGCCGGGATGGCGGGGATGGCCAGGATGGCCCTGGCAACCTCGGCATCGACCTCGGCTCCCGGAGCCCGGGCCCCCGGGCCGATCGTGCTCGCGGCCTTCGCTCGACAGCGCCCGCCTTTGCCGGGGGTTGGCTGGGTTCAGCTCGGATGACCAGGCGGCGCATCACCTGAGCAGATGCAGCACATGTGATTGCGATCTCGGGGATGCCATGGGTACTGAGCACCCAACGCGCAGCTCTGTGCTGTGGCGTCCGGATGTATCGAATTCAGATGCAGCGAAGGGGGCAAAATGCGGTGCGAAATGGAGCATGTCCGGGTTGTGCTTGTTCACCCACTGGCAGCCCACGTGACGTGGCATGCGTGTGCATGGGGGTCCATCAGGTTGGATCAACTTGCCTTGCATGCTGCAGACGACATGAGTCCAAATAGTTGGGAATGTGGAAGCTGATTGCAAACAAACAGCACGGCATGTTGGAGCAATCCCCAGTTGAAACAGTACACAGCAGAAGGCAGGGTGCAATCAGCGCTTTGCATAGCTTTGAGTGCGCTGCCGATTTCCGTCGGCATGGCCACCTGCGTGCGTGCCGCGCTTGTATGCTGGGGCCTTTGCCTCCTTATTCAGGCTGGGGAGGGGAATGTAGCAACGCTGTAGCCTGGGCCTTCTTGCAGACTGGGTCAGCATAAGACAACAGCAGCCAGTGGTAGGTGCCAGTGCATCTATTTTGTGGCGGGAATTCTAGCTTTCGCAGCCTCAGGACCGACTGTTTGATGAATGCTGCTTTGCCCATCAGCAAATTCAGGAGCTCGCGGGCTGCTGTAGTGACCTTCGACTTGGACGATACCTTGTGGCCTGTTGTCGAGGTGGTTGAAGAGGCGGGAGATGTTGGTCAAGCGCGCGCAAAGCACGGCTTTGGAACCCCCGAAACAGAAGCGCGATCCGCGCTCGAGGCGAATCAGCAGATCGCAAGGGCGTATGACCTGCCAGCGGACCAGGCTAGTGGGAGTGAAGCTTACCGGAATTTCCTGACCCATAGACTGAAGCAAATCACCTGTAGGTAATGGGCGCTATGCGGCGCCTGCGCCGTGAACCGGTTGGCGAGAGCGCAAGCTACACGAGCCTTCGCTGCATGGCCTACGCGGAGTTGCTGGGTGGCGACGAGGCCACCGCAGAAGCTCGGCGAAAATTGGATACTGCGACCGCGGGCTGGAAATGGCGCGAAGCATTCCAGCATCTCAGCGCAGTGGGGGTAGGCATTTGACTCACGTGGGTGCATGATTTCCAAAGCGCAAGCGAACGAACTCATGGGCATGTTTCCAGGCGCTTTGCTGCCTCTACGTTGGATTTCAACCATGGCCACAGGACATGACTTTGACACTGAGGGCCGCGTTGGGTTAGAACCACGTCTTTGGTGTTGTGGTTCTAGTGAGGCAGGAAATGTCGCTCAGGAGGTGGCTCAAAATTAAACAGGAGGGGTTACGCAGGTTTTGGTCCATGTTTCCACTTAGCAGGGTTCCATTTTGGTACTGGTTTTTTGAGCCACAGCCAACTGCTGGAATCGTTCTAGTCGGGCACCAGCTCAGGAAGAGATTGTCAAAGCGTGGGTGGCTGCTCGCAACCGGGCTGGAGCTCTGCACCTCTACCCCGACGTGGTGCCATGCTTGGAGAACGTGGCTGCAAGGGCTCTGCCAGAGGGAAAAGTAGGGGATGAGTAAACCAAAATGAGAGGGAATGGTGCCATATTATACCTTCCCCGGGGGCTTCCTGCGTAATTAAGACTTCAAAGTTGGGTGTTTTGCAGCGGTCCACAGCCGAAGTGGTCGCTAACCCCCTTGGTCTTTGACGCAATGAGGAGCTGGGGGAGTTGACATGCGGAAATTCGAGGCGAAGCCAGCACGCTAATCGACAAGTCATTGGCTGACAGCGGCACATTTGCAACATTTGCTTCCTCTGGTAAGGAGGGGCTGGCTTCATCTGGAGCCATGGTTGGAGCTATCACCAACGGTGCTGGCAATCCGAGCGATATCCCGCCTTTGGCCGACTTTTTTCATTTCTGTGTCTCTGCAGAGGAGGACCGGCCTCGCAAATTGGCTTGCAGCGAGGCAATACAGTGTCCGGTTTTCTGCACATGAGCCTGTTCGGGTAGCGCATTTGCTGGTTGATGGCTGCAGGATACAATTTTCCCACACCGCAAGCCTTCTCCGGTGATTTTCGAGGAGGCGCTTGCCCGTGCTCGCGCACTTGGCTGGAGTGGCAAGACAGAGCACCTCGTCTCCGACATGTCCACCAACGGTATGGGCTGGGGTTAGTTTCCTTGTGGTTGCGCTGCGACAAAGGTGGTGGCATGTGGGCGACGACCTTGCCACAGATGTGGCAGCTGCTTCCCGTGTGGGCATGAGGATGGGACTGGGCGTGCTCAAGTGACCCGAGTTGTTGACGTCCCATGTGCCCTCATTCAAACATGAACGGTTGTGTACAGGTGGTAGCCAAAGGCGGCAAAGGTTTGTCGCGCTCACTAGCAGCCCCCTGCAATAACTCGCCTTGCTGCAACCTTCAAACAGCAACCCTGCAGCTACAGTGCTCACATTCACTCGGCTTGCGAGCTTCGTGTTGGCCTTGAGGACGGTGCATGTGGACCGCCCCGGCCAGACGGAGAACCGCTTCAGCGTCAGCTCCAAAGAGGAGCTCGCAGCGCGACAGGCCGGGGCAGCGCCTTGGCTATGTCAGAGGCTCGAGGCCAGGTCTCAAATGGCTGTGGGTCAAACATAGGGCAACCCCAAGATGGCTTACCCTGCTAAATGGACTGAAGGACGAAACAAACCAGCGGTCGAATTCCTGGTGGTTGAATTTTGACCCATGCCCAGATTTGGGACAATGGAGTGGAGCGGCAGCCGAGGATTCAGAGCCCGACTTGCAGGTCTCCACCCTCAAAGGGCTTGCGGAGAGGATTGCGAGCTAAGCAAAAAGGCGCTCGATGGTTTTGGCGCCCTTCGAGCCTTTGTTGAAGTCACGGGCGTGAACTGGTCGCAAGGAATCGCCTTCTGAGGCCCACGAATGGAATGATTTCCAGGCAAGGGCCTCAGATCTCAGATGGTGTTCAGGTGGCGAGCATTTGGGTTGCAGTTGGCTTGCTGGAATTAGGTGGCTCCAGCGCAGATAGCTGCACCAGAGCTCAGATCTGTGGACTGAGGATAGTGGGATGCTACTGTGCAGGCAGGGACCGCCAAGCCGAGGACAGCTGGGAGGGCGGTGTGGGTGGGCGGTGGGAAGGACAGCTGGGAGGGCGGATTGGTGGAAAAGAGCTGGGCTGCTTACATGGCTTGCTTCAACGCTTTGCGCCCAAAAGTGATCAACTTGAATCATCATGTCGTGCCTGTAGAATCTAATGCTAATGAAGATGACCGTAGCACATGATGTTATGGCTTTGTATTTCTCATTCCTTGCTTTTCTTTGTTCCCAATTCGTAGACGTCCAAAAATACACACTGATCAAAGTAAACCGATAAGATGAATAAGACAATAACATAGAATCAACAAAAACGTATGATGTCAAATGAGTCCTAGATTTGTGCATAATCAAGATGAGCAATCTTCACTAGAACCTTCCCCAGAATTAGCTCCCCCTTTTCTTTTCTTTTTGCTTTTTGGGGTCTTTTTGTTTTCCACCAACCAGGCAAAAAAGATGATAGTAACAAGGCAAGCAATGAAAGCTCCCTTTCCAGGACTGGGGCTTGCTGAGCAATATGTCCTGGAAGCGCGGGCGCCCAACTGGAGGGGAGAGTAGGCTTTGGGATCCGCCCTGAACCCCCTACATCACCCGTCTCTGGCTTTGGTTTTGGGGATGGCCCGGGTGAAGCTCCCGTTTGGCCCACACAGGCGCTTGGCGAAATGGGACATTGCCGCCCGTGACAGCTTCCGGAAGTCAACCCTTGCCCTTGTCTTTTGTGTTGCTGTTTCTCCAGGCCTCTTGAGCTGGTGACGTCCCATGCGTTTCTCCTTCGATATGGGCCGCTGGGTCTCTGTGTCGTTTGGGCACCGCCCGTCGGGACTTCGGAAGTCGGACGTCGAAAGCTGCGGCCTCGGCGCGCCAGCTCGAGTTCGGACACCGCCAGCCCGCCGCGAAGCCGGCCGCTGCAGGACCGGTTGTTTGGTTCGGTTCGCAGGGCGCGAGCGCGGACCTGTAGCAGCAACAGGTCATGCAATGAGAAGGGGGCCCTGACAGCATGCTCAAGTTTCGGGGGCGGCTTTTGAGAAGCACTTGGCAGTTTGCGAAAGACTGAGGGGTTGTGCTTGCATGGCTTCGGGTATCAGGAGGCACAACGCTTCCCAGCAGCAGGAGGGGAGCAAACTTGTGGGCAGGGTATTGGATGACCCGTGGCATGCTGTTGCATTGAGGCAGCGACACCGGGCGACTAGCTGACCACAGAGCTGGGGCTGGTCTATTCGCTTATGAATGGGATTGGCCCAGTAGTTCTTCGTAGGCATGAAACACGATATCATCAATCATTTCTTGCTGTATCGCTGGAGAACCCTGAAGAAACCTGCTCCAAGTATGAAACATGAAACTTGTATGGCGGTTCGTTGCAAAACACAGCATGACTTATCCTGCATCCTTACATCCTTTTTTTCAAATCAGCAGGCACTTCCCCGACGGCTGAGGGACAATTCAAATTCGAGTTGGCATTTGACTCGCTCTCTTTCGCGTTGAATTTCTCTGGAGGACATTGCGCGGTGAAACCTTGGCCTCACCGTCTAAAACAAGTGAAAGGTACTCCAGCTCTTTGAAGCCATCCTTGGGCATACATGCCGCATGTGCGATGTGCGCTGCGTAGGAGCTCGCCAAGTGACGCCCCTGGTGGCAACTGTCCCCAGCAGGGCGCCCAAGTGGAGCATGGGGACATTCCAGGAACCCTTCCCCCATCTACCTTCTCTCTATGGACAAGAATAGCTCGGGTGGGAATGAGCAGCCGGTCGCCTGGCACCAAGTCCATTATTTGTACAGGAATTCCACCCTTTGTGGCAGCTTAGCAAAAAAGAGTTTCTACCATGGCAGCGAGCCACAAAAAGCGCGGTTCACCGCGGTTTGTCGTGGTTGCCAGGCATCCAGACCGTCATGCGGCAGCCGCGGCAAGCTTGCTGCAGAAATGCGTGGGTGGGTGGGTGAGTGGGTGATTGGGTGGATGATACATGGTGGGGTTTGCATGAAGTAATGGGCTGAGAAAGCTTATTAATGGTTTTTGGTTTGTCTTGTTTTGCCTTGTCTTTTCTTGTATGTATGTGTTGTTTGCTTGTTTGTTGGTTTGCTTGCCTGCCTGCTTGCTTGCTTGCTTGCTCTCGCTCCCTCGCTCGTTCTTTTCTTCGTTTTGGTTGGTTGGGTTGGTCGGGCCGGGCCGGGTCGTTGGTTGGTTCATTGGTTGGTTGGTTCGTTAGTGCGTGCGTTCGCGCATGCGTGAATGCTGCTAGCGCATCAGCCAAGGTAGCAAGCCAAGAGTGAGGCCACGCACGTAGGTTTCAAGAAGGAACCGGGAGCCATTGGCACGCCCATGGCTCGCTGCATTGCGCTATCTCTGGTTCTGGCATCGTTTTTCGGCACCCGAGCTGCCGACGCCTCTAGGGCGTACGCCTTTGCGCCATGCGCAGGGCATAGCTTGAGAGTTCGGGGCTTGCAGCCTGTTGCCGTCTGCCTTGCGCCGAGAAGAATGTGGAAGACAGGCTTTTTCTCCTAACTAGACTTGGTGGGGCGTGCAGCAAGCCCGCAAGCCCTGCTCAATGAGTTTAGCTGGTTGTGACCTTTCAGATGGCCATTGGCCGCAAGGGCAGCGCAGCTATTGGAAAGGTACTTGCGCATTGCAAGAAGGCCTGGCCGGAAGGCTCGGGTTGGATATGTGAACTTCCGCCTGAGGACCATGTGAGGTTGGACAATTGGTTTTAGCACAAATGAAGGAAGTGTGAGATACGCCGTTTGTATGGTTCAAATGGAGCAGCAGCCATCAGATCAAGACAACTTGCATTGAACTCAGCACATCACGGCTAGTTTGAGCCACGCGCGAGACCCAACGAACATTCCATTTGTCAACGCAGAGCTCATCTTGCTGACACCAGCTGATGGAAGACACTGGCCTGACAATTTGCCGTATTTAGCCGTAGCATAGCCCTTGCCATGCTGCTGAATGGCCCATGGCAACATCCCAGCTGGCAAACAGCACCTCAGCAAAGGCGTGGAATGACCAAACTGATGCGGATCCAATGTTCATCTATGTTCATCTACTCTATGGAAATCTTTCAGGGTTTTCACGTCCCTCACTTGCGGTCTGTGTGCCAGGGGAAGGCTGCAGCAAGATTCGAGCGTGCTGGTGCGACGAGGACGTTGCGTTTTGCCATCAGCAGTGGGGTATGAAGTACTTTTTTGGCCTCAGCTCAAGGGGGCCATGGCGCAATGGTAGCGCGCTCATGTTTCTCGAAACCATGGGAGATTGCAGCTTCAAATCCTGTTGGTCCTATTTGTGCTTGTCGTTTCTGGAGCTAGGGTTCTTGTCTTTGACGTGTCGAGGTCTTGAAGTGCCGGGTTGCTTTCGCCTAGTTAGCAAACCAAGCTGCGCGTGGGCCATTGACACACTTTATCCGAACACGTCTACGGTGGCTTTCGCAGTTGCGCGGAATCAGAGCAAAACCAACTTGCACAGTTTGCCGTTGTGGCAGGCGTGCCGGTTCTGGCTGTACTTGCCCAATGACAGGCAGTTCTTTGTTCAGTCGTCCGACCCCATTGGTGTACAGATGTCGCTCTCGTTAAAAGATGCTCAGGGAGATTAGTCTCCAACCGTGTTTGGCACAGATTTCGGCAAGTTTTTTTGTAATCTGGGGGCATGGCTGCGTAAGGGGAAAGAACCTCGCTAGAATCTTGGCCATACAGCTACAACATGTTAATGTGGGCTGGGCCTGGGGTTGGCGCTTTCACGTGCCAGGCGTCCCGACTGCGCAGAGCCGCCGCCAACCCATGGCAGCTCAATAGGCGGGCAGCTGAAATGCGCTGTGCAGGGAAGGAGTACTTTTTAGGAGCCCCTACCACGGCGAAACATCAGAGAAGCCCTCGCCCCCCGCATGTGAGCTGTCTCGCTGATCTAGCCAGGGAACTGGCTGCTGCGCAGTCTGCGGGTGAAGTCCTGCAGATTTGTGACAGGCCCGCACCGCATGTAGAGTCGCTGCAGGGACCCGTTCGGCTCGGAACTAGGAATAGCCCCACATGCCCGGCGTTTTGCAAAGTGAATGTAAATTGAGTGAGTGAGAGTAAGTAGCATGTTGAAAGTGGAGTGAGAATGGTTGAACATCAGTAAGTGTGCATAAGTTAGCGAGGATAAGTCGAGTGAGCGCGACTAAATATGTTTTATGCTGTCGTGCCACGCAAAACAACATCAACATGCGCAACGTCCTGCGCCTGCCACGGCCACAGCCGCATCCCGCCATCCCGCGCCGCCCTGTCCGCGCAAACCTTTCCGAAGTACTGCGCCTTGAGCAGCATCGCCTGCGCAAAGCCCTGCGAAAAGTGTGTAAGTTGAGTGAGTGAGAGTGAGAGTGGTCGAAAGCTAGTGAGCGTGAGTGAGAGTACGTATGTGTTTTTGAAGTGAGCGAGAGTAAGTGTGTGTGTAAGTTGGGCGGGTGAGATTGAGGTTGTAAGTCAGTGAGTGTAAGTTAAGCAAGAAAGAAAAGAAAGACAAGAAAGAAGAAAGAAGACCAGAGAAGAGAAGGAAAGAACAGAAGGGACATCACGTGCCAAAAGAGAAACAGAAAAGAGAAGAACAGGAAATAACAGAAGGGAAGTCACCAGCAAAAGCGAAAACATAAGAAATAAAGAAAGAACGAAAGAAAGAATGAAAGAAATAATGAAAGAAAGAATGAAAGAAAGAAAGAAAGAAAGAACAACAAAAAGAAAGAAAGAAAGACAGACAGACAGACAGAAAGAAAGACAGACAGACAGAAAGAAAGACAGACAGACAGAAAGAAAGACATGACAGGGACAGAAAGAAAGGAAAGGAAAGAGAGAGAGGAGAGAGATAGACAAGACAGGAAGGACAGACAGGGACAGACAGAAGAAAGAAAGAAAGAAAGAAGAAAGAAAGAAATAAAGAAAGGTTGAATAAGAAAGAAAGAAAGTACAGACCAGACAGACAGACAGACAAGAAATTCCAATACAGAAAAGATAGAATGACCCGACATCGGCACAGAAAGAAAGGAAAGAAAGGAAGAGGAGAGAAAAGAACAGACAGACAGAAAGACAGGACAGAAAGAAGAAGGTCAGACAGGGCCAGCTGACATACCAGCAAAAGAAAGAAAGAAAAGAAAAAAAAAAAAAAAAAAAAACAGGGGGGGGGGGGGGGGGGGGGGGTGGCACAATAAAGAAAGACAGAAAGAAAGAAAGAAATAATGAAATAAATAATGAAATACATAACCTAAATGAAAAAGAAAAAAACATCCAAGGGAGGGAGGGAGGGGCGAAGGAATCCGAAGGAAGGAAGGAAGGGAAGGAAGGGCTGGAAGGAAACGAGAGTGAGACAGAGCGAGAGCACCGATACCTCGCCAGGGCGGGCAGCGAGTTCAACACGGTGAACATCAGCACCGCCTTCGGCAAGCTGGCGCGACTACCGGCCCCGGCCCCGGGGCTTGGCGCTCGCAACCCGTTGCCCTCGTGTATTCCGAGGGCTCCGGCGTGACCGCAAGCAGAAGCTTCTAGGCGGAGAGTCCAGCCTCCGAAAATGGAAGGTCCGAAGAAACTGGAACAAAACACCTGCCAAGCGCATAGGAAGTCACCAGCTTGACCAGATGCAGCTTTCTTTGGCCCGTTGAAATGCCAGCTCACAAGTGTGACAGCTAAATTACCTGTACTACTTTGCAGACTCATCAAATTTGGCAGCAGAGATTCAGGGCCCTCCTTCTTCACAACACGTCGCGGCATCCTGCGCGAGGCTTTGGTCCAAGCAGCGGATCAGGCGCATGGCTGCTGGGCACCCGTTGCAGTGAGAGCGCATCACTTGCAGTTCCCAGTCAGTCAACCGGACAATACGAGTAAGAAGAGGTGCTGCACTCGCCTGGGAACAAGCGCCGTCAGGCGGCTTTTACCTTTGACCAGCGGGGCACTGCGAGCACAGCACGGGCAGCGGCCAAGCTGCGGCGGGCTTGGCGGTTCGGCGAGCTGAAGCTGCAAGAGTTCGCGGCAGGGGCGCCGCAAAGTTGCTGCGAGCGCGGTATTTGTCCAGGTCTTGCGTTGGTTTGGGGCGCATGGCCTGAGTTTTTCCCCATGAAGCCCAAGTGGCCATGGGTCAAAATCCCGTTCCCCCACCAGTGAGCATCCCAATCCCCGCTAAAATGGGTGGTGCACCTACCCCAAAATGGTACCATCGGTTTGGACCCACAGCCAAGTAGAGGCAGGTTTCCATTCGCTGGCCAAGGCGCCGTGGCCTTGAGCCGGCCTTCGGCACCTTGGCCAAAGCCATGGCCTCAGCGCGTCGTACACGTTGAGTTGGTCATTGTCGTTGCGTTGAGATGGTGCGCAGCCGATCGCATGTCCACAAGATTGCAAAAGGTCTCTCCTTGTTTTGGGTTGCATGTTTGATCGTGTCAGACAGAGGAGTAAGTTCCCAGCTGAAAAGATCTCCGGCAACAGTTACCGATCTGCGGCCTAGCTGCTAGCTGCCTGCTAGCTGAGGCTGCCAGGGGTATGACGGAACGCTTTACAGAGCAGGCTGGAACCAGGTTTCTTGTCTTGCGCGGAGGGTGTTCCAGGATTGTCTTGGCGTCAGGATCTGGCCAACCTGGTGCGGGGCGCTGCCACAACGCAGTGCCGGGGCCAGCCTCCTTTGGAGGAGGTGGGTGAAGAACCCGGGCGTTTTGGTGAGCTGATTAATGATGCACCAGGTTCTCAAATTGAGGAATGGCGTGATGCAATTGTGGGGCTGAGAGTGGCCAGGGCGAGCGCATTGCCAGGCGGGTGCCCGCGCTGTGCAGCTGGCCCCGGACCTCACGGCGCAGGGGCTTGCAAACAGAGGCCAGGAGTTGGGACGTTCACAGGGCTTGATTGTTTTTTTTCTTTTTTTTTCCAGCTCGTAGTGACAGATGGATGATGGGCCAAATGGGATACGTGATTGAAACGTGCAGAAGGACCTCCCAGAGGAGTGGCTGGTGGCAGTGGGGCCGTTGAGCCTTAAGCTAAAATGGCAAGCCGATGGAATGCAGGCTCTTGAATACGGGCAATCAGTATGGGCCGTGGAATCCTTCCTACTTGATGTCTGCCCAGGTTGTCCTAGTATGTTGGTGCCCCTGAATATCAGTGGGCATCTTTTTCGTTGCCTTGCTGAGTCAAGACCCTCTGGACGCAGCGGCAGAGAGAGAGAGAGAGAGAGAACGGGGCAGCGGATTCCCACTTCGCATGTCTGGGCGCTGAAGCTAGTGGGCTCGTGTTTTTCAAATCACGCTTTTGGGATCCTTTGAAGTTGTCTCATCAAGCCAAACGACCCCCACCCGATGAGATTCCGGCAAAAAGCGATGGCTTCCCCAGTTGCAGTTTAGTCTGGGTGGGACTTTTTGCGGAGAGGACGATGAGGGAAAAAAGGGATACCGTTTTATAGAACTAGACTTGCCAAGTGTACTTTGTTTTGCTGAAGCGGGAGCTGCGGAAGTGTGCTTTGTTTGCTGCAGTAGCTGGAGCTGCGGAAGTGCACTTTGTTTACTACACTTATACTGGACAGCTGCGAATTCGAGCTGGAGCAGCGGAAGTGTATTTCGCTTACTACACTGCAACACGGTTGCGATTTCCGTGCAGAAATGTACTTCACGTACTACACTTGTACTACAAAGTTGAGGTTTTTGATCTGGAGCTGCGGGAGTGTACTTCCCCGCGAGCTACACCAGCTGGAGCTGCGGAAGTGTACTTTGTTTACTACACTTGTATTACAAAGTTGCGATTTTGCAGCTGGAGTTGCGGAAGCGTACGTCGCTCACCGCGCTTGTACTTAAAAGTTTGGTTTCTCGAGCTTGGCTTGCCAACTTGAAGAAAACGTTGTAGTAAAACGATGGGGGCGAAAAAACGAAAACGTCGAAGAAGTGGAAGGGAAAGGGTGGGGTTTTTTATGCATTCCCAGGTGGGTTCCAAGGGAACATGCTCCCCGAGGAAGTCGTTTTCGGGGAACCTCTTAGACCGGGCTCCATCCCCCGGTCCAGGCTGGGCCTTTGGCGCCTCGGCGGCTTCGGGCGCGCCTTCGTGGGATGGGCCGAAAGCGGCGGTGTGTTCGGCGCTGGGGAAGATGCGGCCGCAGGAGCGCGTTGCTTCGCCTTGTCTGGTCGGCGATGTTTGAGGCGTGCAGTGTCAGCAGGGTTTACGCTACTGGTAGGCAAGGAAATTGTCAACGCTTGCGCGCATCGGGTTTGCCACGCGTGGCTGTGACGTGTTTCGGGTAAGGTTGCGAGCCTTCGGCGGGTCGAAGCCGCTGCAATAAGAGGTCGGACTCATGTCAGGAGCTGGCGAACAGGGCACGAAGCTCCAGCACCATGCTGGCCAAAGGCGAGGTTATTTTGGGTGGGGAAGAGCCAGGAGGGTAGCCAATGGCTACTGAATCCGAGCCAAGGCGCCCCGCTCAGGCGCACAGTCCCTGGGCTCTTTGGGGAACTCCGTGCCCCGCGCGCTGGGACGCCATTTGCCTCAGGCGAACGAATGGTCTCCCTTGGTGCGACGTCACGGGGTCGCGACAAGTGAAACTTCCTTTCTTGGGGGTCCCTTCTTGGTCATTATACTTTGCCCAAGGCCTTTTGGGGAGACCCGGGCCGCCGGATTTTAGCTGTTCCCCATTTCGACCACACCAGACCGCCTATTCACTCCGGGCTCGGAGGCCGTTGAGACCGGCTGAGGTCTCAGCGAGCGGGACCTGGCAGAGATCAGGCGCCATATCATTTGCGGTCCGGCCAAACCGCGTGGTTTGGCCTTGGGTCAATCCGTGTGGGACGCCTGCCGAAGTGTTGCGTCCGCTATGAGTGGCTCAGTTTGCAATGCCCGCAGTTTTCTGGGAACGCCAAACGCAGATGTCTGAGTCATGAAGCGCTGTAGCCAAAGCCAAGGGAGCGGCCTCCCAGGGTCCCAGCACCGCACTTCACCTCAGCAGGGCCTCAAGCGGGTTCCAAGCCAGTTTGCTGAGACTTGTTGCTGCTCTTTCCTGTGGGCCCGCGCGCCACCCAGGCGGGAGGGAGGTAAAGTGTCTTCCTGCAGGAATCTGAGTCCACACGTGCATGCTTGGTTTCTGGGTGCAAGGCATCCCGATTGAATTGCAGAAGTATTTTACCCACCTTCATTTCCTCTGCTCCCACTATTTCTTCCACCTTTGTGACGTGGTATTTTCCTCATGGCATGATTTGGTGAGTGTCCACATGTTTCACGAGCTGCTTGCGACTCAACAAGCTGCTTGCGACTCAACAAGCTGCTTGCGACTCAACAAGCTGCTTGCGACTCAACAAGCTGCTTGCTGCATCAACTTCTATTTGTTTAGAAATTCCCGCTGCCTGTGGTCGGTTGCCTTCCCCCTGTCTTGACTGCAGCTCCTGATCGCGCCGACCTGGGTAAGACACGGAAAGCCTCAGATGAAGAATCCTTCTCAGGGGTCTCTTATTTCGCCTGCGGGTTTTTCTGCAATTTGCCTGGTTGCCCCGCGCCTTTGGAATGACCGCTTTTGCTTTGCACCCCCCCTGAGCCGGCAGGGGTATGGAGACGACAGTCATACAGCGGCTGCTGGGAGGCGCGACGGGGGCGTGCGTAATGTTTGAGACGTCGCAGGTGTCGCCCGGCTTGCCAAGTAGGCTTTACCTTCGTTAGGCCCAAGACCGCAGATTCCGCTGCTCGAAATTAGGAAGCTCTGTGGGGTTTTGGGCCGAAGTTGTGGGAAGTCCGTGCCGATTGGGCCCTAGTTACTGCATAGAGGTTTGATCTGAAATTGGGCCGGTGATCTGAAGGAATGCCAGCACAGTTCAACGCTTGCCGCATTGCCGTACGCCAGGCAAGCTCGCCATGGACTTGCAAGAGTTTGAGCAAGTCAAGCCACTTGGCCATTGGATCGCGCTTGCATGCGATCCGAACTCGACCCGAAGTTAAGTTATTAAGGCGAACCATCAGCTCCGGCAGCAACCTCGGCCGTGTGGACAAGGATGTGGCTTGATGGCACTTGCTGTCTGCGCCGAGCAGCTTGGCCCAAGGCCACTTGTCCTAAGGTCTACTACTGGGAGCCCAAGTCCCTCCGAATCAGGACGCGTTGGGCCCAAACGCAATCTTTTTTCCGACCCTTCCCTCACGCAAACAGTTGGGATGTAAGGAGCGAATGACTATGCCCCTGTCAACTAAACAAACGGCCGCCAGACTTGCTTCTTTAAGACAACTGCCGCAGATTTTCCAGCCGGATTCGTCAAATTCGCCTCACGGGCGGGACATGGACGCTACTTGGCTTCAGGACCATCAACTGGTCGTATGTCTTCCTGGCAGAGTACTTGCCCATGGCGTATGGCCTCGCCATCGCTACTGCTTCTTGGCCAAACTTCTGCCCAGATTCGGCGGGGGATGAATTGCGATGCGGCATCTCTCGGCGAAGTCAGGCAATGCTTCCTTGCGTCGCCAGGTCAGCTGCCTCATGGTCTCCCAGCTGTACATGTGGCGCTTGGAAGACTTCCGGCGTGCCTGGCATTTGTTGCAGGAGCCGCTGGTGATGCAAGCGACCTGTCTGGATATTGATACTGTCACTGAGTTCCCCAAGTGCAATCCTTCGGGTCAAGAGAGGCGTGTGGTCCTACCTTGGGCGAACGGGTTCGGCGATCACGGCTTTGCTGAATAGTTTGGCATTCCGTTCACCCAACTGGCCATCCGTTCACCCAACTGGCCTCTCAGAGGTCATGAGGTCCGGAGTGTCCGCTGCCACAAGCAAAGCCAAGAATCCCGGATCGAACGTGTGTCAAGCGAAGCCTTCATGCATGATATGCAGGAATGAAAGCACATTTGTACTCATAGGTGTATCCACTTTATGCCGTTCATTATGCAGTTTGATTGTGCAGTTTGATTTACGTACCCAGATGCAACACACGCTCGCACAAGTTTTTTGTGAGGTCATCGGGGCTGCCGCCCTGATCTTGGCCTACATGAGCCAGCACAAGCCTTCTGTGTATTGCGGCTTGGCCTTGGGGTGCTCTTAGCCACTAGCGCGCCCGGCAGTCTCGTTCAAGCTCGCGCTCGCGCAAGACCTCTAGTGAGGTCTTGCTTGAGGATGCAGGAAGGGTGCAATACCGTTGATGGATTCTGATGGCTCAAGCCTGGAAGGGTTGCTTTGTAGCTATGCGATAAATGGAACCGAGTGAAGGAACGGAGCGAAGGTTGGCCATGATAGTCCATTCTTCTTGATGAGGGGTTACCGGGTGGGCAGGTACCTCAGTTGGAAGAGACGTACGCCGATTTGACAACTGTGATTGACTCTCACATAGGGATATCAGGTGCATTGCTGGGTTGTGGGAGAGGGTTGGTCCCCATTTTTTTGATGCCAAAGGACCTCCATCTTAAAGAGAAGAAGTCAATCGGAGTCAGCGCTCGTCCTGAAAGCGTGGCAAGCCTCGCGAGGTTTGGAGAACTTAGTGTACAAGCCGCCACAAGATTGGGAGGCAGGGAGCGCACACTGCGCTTTTTTGAGGCCGGTTCGCTCAGCAGTGTGGGTATGCGTCAAAATCTTACCTCTTAAAAACACAACTTTTCAACTTTTTGGGCAACATGGGCTATATGTCTGTAAAAGATTAACTTCCCCAGGGCTTGGAGTTTTAAGGAGTAAGAAATAGCAGGCCCCCCGCAAATCGTGGTTTTAAACTGATTATCCTCAACAGAAACCCATTTGTCATGCAAGGTGTCGCAGAAGCAGATCGTGAAAATGCTGGAGGCGCAGCATTGTTTTAACGAGACTTGGCCGCTGAAAGCCATGAGACAACTGCCAAAACCTTGGGCTAGGCAGGGTTGGGTCCGCCGACTTGGGGAGCGCAGACTGGCAGTTTTGGATGTGCGCTTGATGGATGGTCCAGAGGTTGACGCAACATACAATGATTACTTGGGCTTTGGAGTGGGTACTTCGGCCTTAGAGTCCGCAGGCAGTGGTTTACTATGTGCGAGCAGTTGGCATCAATTTTTGCCATGCCAAGACGAGGAACCGCCTTTTTGGGCCTTCCGGGGTATTTCCCCACTCAGTGGGAAAAGTTACCCACGGTTACCTAGTCCATTATTCTAACCTGTCCCAAGCCTAATCCCCAATGATTAGCGGATTACGGATTGTGCGGTTTACGGATTAGACCGTTTAGGTGTAGGACACCCAACTACATTGTGAGGGAACTGCTTTTCAGCTTTTTAAGGGGTGTTTCACTAGAACAACACGCTTGGCAGCCCCAAAATGACACTGGGGCATGTGAAAGGGCCCCAGTGGGGTCACTCTTCCAGGATGGAGTCGTGGATGCCTGCTACTGGTATGAGGCTTTGTCAGGCCCACTTCAAATGGCGATAAACCGCAAGGATTACGGATTAGGGGGGTTACCAGCTAAAACGCGGATTAAAAGCGAATTTCGGATTAACCGCATGCGCGGGGGGGGGGGGTGGTGCGGGAGAGGGAGGGAAGATTGAGCAGTCCAAGGAAGCCTCCATTGACTTCCAGCAGCGGATCCTGGATAATTCGGGCACTGGCCCGTCCACGCATTGGCCGCCAGGCGGGGCAAGCAGTTTGCTCAGCCCCTTAGACCTTAGGCTGGATCCCATGACCCTAAGACTTGGCTTTCAATCGGAAGTGGGAGTATCCTCCTTGATATTTCAGGGTCAGATCCATGGACACTGGGACGGGCATCGTTGAAAAGCGAAGTTTGTGGCTTCCTCACGAAAGCGTTTTGGCAGGCAGTCCTTGACTATTGCCTGCCTGTGGGCCAGGCATTCTCGGCTCCAGAGATGGCAACACCGAGGCACGACAATGGCAATGGGGTCCGAGACATTTGCCAATCTGAAACACAGCCCTGCTGCGCAAGGATGCGCAGTGCTTATCAAGCCAAGAGCCGTGCGAGGCTGTGTGCAATATGGCGGCTGCGCGGAACGAGGCGCAGGAGGTGCGCGGCAACAGCGAGGGTGTTGGGTAGTCAGAGGTCTCGGTGCTGACACGCAGATAGCTGATTCGGTTGTTTGCAGCGGTGATGTGGGCGAGTGGTTGTGAATGTCGCTTCAGATTCGGCTCCAAGTCAGATGGCATCACCTGCCACCAACTCACAGATGCCAAGGTGATGTTTTCGCTGGTGCGAGACCTGCTGAAGCGCAGCAAGGCAGACGGTTGGATTTTGGCGCTGACAGTTTGGAAGCGACAAGTTGGGCCTAAGAATCTCTGCGGTCTGAGAGCTGGGTTGGTCACGCCAGAATGTTGCGTTGAGTCGGCCAAGTTTTCACAGCTTTGGTGCTTTTCAGCCTGCTTGCCATAAGGCGATTTGATGGGGACAGGCGGTGCGTAGTCTCGGCCGTGAGGTGAAGCCTCAGCAGATTGATTTCCTCATTGTGAATTGCTCCCTGCTACCTGGCGAACTTGTGATTCGTTTCCAGTGTTGAGGGGTCCAGTGTCGCAGTGGTTCGGGTCGAGCCGAAGGCTTCAGGTGGTTTCAAAGATCACCCCGGCCCATTTTACAGGTGAAAATTGGAAGCCCTGGCCAAGGTTTTGCCCCACACCCTCGCTCTGCGCGATGGTGTGCAACGAGTTCGGGCTGCGCCAGGAGGGATTGTCCAATCACTAGATGCCTGGAGGGATCCACATGTCACACCTAATATGATGCAAGCCAACCCCCCCAAAAAAAGAAAAAGGCGAAGGAAACGCCTCAAGTGTGTGTGGAAATGGTTCAAGGCCGCACTTCACTTTTTCCCCAGCTCAAAGCTATGGAGTCTCTGCCCGAATCGTTTGCAGCTTTTTTGCGGGTTCCGGAGGGCTCGACGGGGCTCCGCTGTTGGGCATCCTGGGCTTAGCTATTGCCAGTTCGCGTTGTTGAGCAGAACGTTTTGTTTTTATTTCATTTGGCCTTCCGTCTTCCTTCTATATGGCTGTGGGTCAAAACCAATGGTACCATTTTGGGGTAGGTGCATCACCCATTTTAGTCTATTTTAGTGGGGATTGGGATGTCCACTGGGGACCCATGGCCATATTGCTGAAGCTTTCTGCCAATGCCAGCTTGGCCTTGACAAGGGTTGGCCACTCTTCCATTTGGCAATCCGTGGCCAGGATGTGCGATCCTACAACTTGGGGGGCATGGGCTGCTCCGCAAACGCTGGCGCCTTAAGGGGGCAAGGCTAACGCATGCGACACCGCAGCCGTTGGCTGGTTTCGTGCTTCAGGGGGGCCTGACAGCCTGAGTCACTCGCTGAGGTGATCTCAGTAGATCTTGCCAAGCAGCTGCTGGAGAACCGCCCGGGATCACGGGCTCTGGTGATATCCATGGAGCCCCTTGGCCGGACGAGTCGGACTCGAGCGATGTTGGCTGGCCGACCTTTTTCTGATCGATTTCGGGCGGAGGAACATCACACAAAACCTGTACAAGGGCAACGACAAGTCGATGCTGCTGCAGACACCTGGCATGCGCTTGTAAGCCGTGCATTGGGGCAGGGCAGCAGGTGCCAATACTCATGACTCATGACTATCAGCGGTAGAATGGTTTCCTACCACTGCGAGCCCCATGTTAGATTCATTGATTCCCCCCTACCCGTAGAAGTGGGGGGTCCTGTCAAAAGTTGGCCCTTTACCGATCAACGCCAGATATGTAAATTTCCTCCGCGCACACGCACGCATATTGTCAGTGCTTTGAGTGTACCCCGCCTGCATCACGCGCTTTTTGCATTCCCGTATTGTGGGAATGCAGAGCGGAGGGCCAACTTTGCCGTCTTCTAGGTGCTTCCTCTTGTCATCTTCAGGTCAAATGTAGGCACAATGAGGCATCAGTTGAAGGCACGGTGGCTCCTTCAGGGCAGCAGAGTTTCCATAAGCGTCTGGGGGAGTGGGTTTACGCAACAATACAAAACCGGTAGATCTCAAGCCCAGTGGTTCCTCTCGTGGCCGGGCCCCAATCCCCACTAAAATCACTAAAATAGGTTCTAAAATGGGTGATGAATTCACCTACCAACCAAAATGGGATCCCAAAACGGTTTTGACAACCACAGCCACCAGCCACCTATGGGATTTGGGTTCAGGAATACGCTTTTTCGCTGCGGTGGCTGTGCGCTGCTTCTCTCCAGCCGGGTTCTGGACTCTATGAAGGCCAAGTGCCGCGGCAGAAGACCAGAGCGAGCCATGGCGTCCATGGTTTTTTTTGAAATGGCTGTGGTTGTCAAAACCGTTTTGGGATCCCATTTTGGTTGGTAGGTGAATTCACCACCGATTTTAGTGGGGATTGGGATGCTCACTGGGGGTACGATTTGGATTTTGACCCATGGCCCGAATGTCAAGAAGCGCCATCTTGTTGTCAGCCCAAAAGTGCGGACACATATCAGCAGGAGTACAGGTTGTCACTTCGTCAGTAGAACCTTGATTCACCGGCCTTTGCCGGGTGGTGAGCGTGGGACATGCAGGTTGGCATAATGAAGCGGGGAGGTGTAGAATGTTCAGGCACAAATGTGTTGGCAAACGCGTCAACAAAGCTTTACGGGCGCTATACAAGGTAGGCAACCCTTGTGGCACGAGCAAAGGTACAAGCTTTTGTACACCTTCCGCTCACAGCTGTCGGATGACAATTCCTACAACTGCGTGTACCAGAAGCAGGATAGCGAGGGCAACAGCCGCTGGCTGAGCGGGCAGGGTGAGCCGAATTTCATCAAAAGGGATCCAGCTTCATCACGGCTCATTGGGTGTGAACATGACGCTGCAAAGGCAAATGTGTTCGCCGCATCATGGCCAGCAGCCTCATTTCTTTGACAGGCCGTCAAGAGTGACGAGTCTCCCACACCATAGTGATGAGCAAGTGTTGAGGTGCGCAGAGGTGCATCTGAGCCCTGCTCTTGCCCAGCATTTCACGACAGCTGGTTTGGTTGCGGCTGGTAGGGTGTTGCTTCGAGCGCATGTGCATCTCTCAGAGATCCAACCGAGGTGGCGTGGCCCTGTCCAAGGACCCGCTTGAACCTCGTGTCGCGCTGCTTGTGAAGCTGTGGCATGCGTTCCCAGTCCTTGGCAGTTTTCCGGGGGTATCAAAACAAAGCGGAGTGCACAGCCTGCACGTAGGAATTTTGGACATGGTCGTGCCGAGACATGCCCTTGGGATCAGACTTATATCCCAGTGTGGAATCGGAACTGATTTTCCTAATGCAGAGATGTTGGGTACATTCTTTTCTGTGTTACTTCATCGCTTTTCCTCCGCAGAGAGAGGGAGAGAGAGAGAGAGAGAGGGAGGAGTGAGTGAGACAGATGTCAAACTACATGCTTCACTTCCTGCATTTGTGTTTCATGTACTGCAGGCCTTGAGCTCACTACATCGCATGTGTAAAAGGTGGATTGCTGCAGACTACAATCGGTTGACTATTTGTTTGAACACTACAGCACTTGCACTTGAAAGCAAAGTAACCACCGATTTTAACGTGGTAGCGGAGCTGAGATCCTAAACATAGGGGAGCTCCAGTACCAGCAGTAAGTACTACAACTGCACAGGCAATCGCGTGCCCAACTACTATGAACCAGCAGCAGCATCAGCGCAACCAACTACAGGAGCAGACGACGGGCCCACAACAGCAGACACAGTAGGAGCCACAACTACGGGAGCAGGAACAGAACAAGACAACGACGTTCAGAGACTACATAGATACAAACTGCCACCACCCTTCTTCACTGGTGACTACTCCCAGTATGAAGAATGGCTGTTCAAGCTACAAGCATACCTCGGCCTCATAGACCGAGACTTCGACCTGGTGCTACAACTGGCACAAGTGGCTACACGACAGATTGAGGACACAGACATAAGAGCCCACATACGCGACCCTACACAATCAACAAAAGCAGTAGACCTCTCACGCGATCTACACTACATCCTCATCAACATCTGTCAGGGAGCAGCAGCTACAGTAGTAAGGCAAAACCGCTACAACGCAAACGGATGTGAAACACTACGACTACTACACAACAGGTTCAGCCTACCAGTAGGAACAAGAAGCGTTGGCTACCTTACCAAACTACTGGAACCTACATTCAATGAAGCGCAATTTGAAGAACAATTTCTACAATGGGAATATGACATCAACCGCTACGAGAAAGACAACGGCACAGCATTGCCAGATGGAGTGAAGATTGCAATACTACTCAACAAGACCAAAGGAGCACTTCAACAACATCTCCAACTACGTGCTGGACAGATCACGAACTACAACGAGATCAGAGTTGTCATCCTGGACTACTACAAGACCATATCTGCATTCTCAAGAGCGAGCTCAGCAGTTGGCACAAACTACAATGGTGGAACAGCGCCAATGGACGTGGACAACATTTGGAGGAAAGAAAGAAACTACAAAGGCAAAAGCAAATATGGAGGCAAAGGCTCCTACAAAGGAAACAAAGGAAAAGGCAAGTACAGAAGCAAAGGCCACTACAAAGGATTCGACAAAGGCAGCAAAGGAAACTACAACAAAGGAGGATACAACAAGAGCAAAGGAAAAGGCTACTCAGGATCCAAAGGATATGGTTCAAGCAAAGGCTACAAAGGCCAAGGAAACTACAGCAAATCAAAAGGAAAAGGAAACAACAACTACACAACATGCCATCGATGTGGCAAGCCTGGCCACTGGGCGCAAGACTGCACAGTGCCAGTATGGCACATAGGAGAAGGAGAAGAACTACACCCACTAGAACAAGAACAAGCAGATCATGACAACAATGAAGAACTACCTCAGGATGTGAACGACACTTGGGACTGGTACTACGAAGGAGAAGAAGGACAACACGAGGTGAACTACATGGAGGAGAACTGGAACGACTACGACTATGACAACAGCTGGGATTGGAATGACAACAGCTTTGAGGACACAGCAAACTACATTGGAGGCATCAACGAGTCACACCTTACCATTGGACACATCAGACAAGCAAACTCACGACTACACAAGCACAAATCCAAATCACTACTTGGCAAGAGAACAACACACACAACATCATGGAACGACCACAGCAAGAGCTTTCAACAGTTCCTACAAGAAGCCACCACGCAGCCACACTTTGACATAGCAGCAGCAAGACAACAACAAAGGAACAAGAAGATTGAGGACACTATCACACACTACATCATGTACTCCAACTTCAAGTCATACCACCACCTGTTGATCGACTCAGGAGCATCTACACATGTTTGCCCGAAGGACTACGCACCAGACCTACCGCTACGACCTTGTGGAGAATCAGTTCCACAACTCTACACGGTTACAAACAAGAAGATTCCTGTCTACGGCATCAAGTACGTTCCCTACAAGCAGGACAACTTCAGGATCATGATACCCTACTACGTTTGAGATGTGAAGTATCCAATCCTCAGTGCATCAAGACTACTTGATAGAGGATATGGACTTGACTTCACTCCACGACACTGCACCATCACACAGGGACAACAACAAGCACACCTTATAAGACACTCAGGACTTTTCTACCTACGAGCAGAGAAGATCGACATCCCTACAGGATTCGACATCTACCCAATGACTACAGACAATGGAAAATCCATTGCTGTGATTCAACCTACGGAGAAAACAGTACAACAACAAGAACAAATTGCACCACTCACCCACACAGACCAAGGACTACGACAGATCCTTGGTGGAAACACTGACTACTGGAAACTTGATGGTGACTACGCCGTCAGAGTACACAAACGACCGCGCAAAGCATTATTCACACCACACAACAGCGGTTGCCCAATACCTGAAGGAGAACTAGATGATTGGCGACTAACCATCATCAACAGACAAGGGCAAGAGCAAGAACAACTACAAGAGAACCCAACACAACTTTCCAAGCAAGAACTACAACGAAGACTAGAAGGTGACAACTGGACTGGGGAAACCAGATTCAGAAGAAAGATAACACCTACATGCAGAGCAACATCAAAGACCACACCAACAAGGCAGAGCTCACAACCACAACGGCTAATGGACACACCACCAACCAGATCAAAGATCCAACTACGAGCACCACAAAAGATATGGAGACCTAAAGCAGCACCTTCTACAAATCTTGACACCACACAACCAAAGGAGACAATCCACAGACCACTCACAGCACAGGAGGACAACCAAGACTACTGGGAAAGACAAGGTGAATACTGGATAAGACACCACACAACTCTTAGAACAACTCTATTCACTCCAACTGTTGGACCAGGACATCCACCAATCAGCACACTTGAGCCTCACAGAACTACAATCACTCACAACAACTTTGGAGAAGTTTCGCAACGCAAAGATGACGGGACAGTCATGGGCAACGCAACACTACCATGTCAATGGAAAGGAACAACAAGGTTCACCGTGAAGAAAGACTGCGAGTACATCCAGGAGGATCACGATGAGGAACAACAACACGAGCATCATGAAGCACAGAGCAAGAGGACTACGACAACCGCAGCAGCCCACTCCACAACAAATAGCAGAACACAACTTGACACACCTACCATACAGAAATTTGTGTCAAATTTGCGTTCAAGGCAAAGGACGCCAGGACAACTACAAGAAACAACAATCACGACAACCCATCATCCAAGTGGATTTTGCCTACATCAAATCACAACAAGATCCGAAGACCATACCAGTCTTAACAGCAGTTGATGTTACTACACAACTGTGCATGGCGGTATTGGTTCCGGACAAACCATCAATGATGGACTACATGATCAACAACCTACAAGCATTCATCTTTGAATGCGGAAGAACACAAGGCATACTACAAAGCGACAACGAAGACACACGCAATGCACTACTAAAAGCAACAGCATCTAAAGTCGGCTCAATGACTGTACGACATTCACCATCCTACAGCAGCAACAGTCAAGGAAGCGTTGAGCGACTACATAGAACACTTCTCGGACAAATCCGCGTCGTCAAAGCTCAGGTTGAAAGCAACTACAGCATGACGATGTCCACAAAGCATTGTCTACTACCCTGGATAGTACGACACGCAGCATGGACGGTAAATCGCTACGTCATTCACTCAGACGGCTACACAAGCTTCGAACGCCGCTGGGGAAGAAACTACGAGCGAGCAATCTGCGAATTTGGCGAGACACTACTCTACCTTCCACCACAACACAAGAAACTCCCAAAAGCAGACCTACGGATGCAGAAATGCATCTGGCTCGGAAAAGTCTCCGAAACCGGAGAAAACTACGTCGCAACAGAATCAGGCGTACAAAAGGTACGAACAGTACGGAGACTACAACCGGACTTCAAATACGACCTCGCACTGTTGAACAAAGTTTCCGGCACACCATGGGCACCACGACGGAACACCTACAACCCATCGTTCGCAACACTGTTGGATACGCAGCTACAACCGTCAGAGAAAAGAAGGTCCACGCAAGATTTCGGACAACAGACGAACGCTACGGACGACATCGTTGCGGAACCCGCAACAAAACAACAACGCACTACACCACCTCCACGACTTCCGTCCACATCGACGTCAAGTGCACGACCACTACCGGATAGTCCTATGGCTACTTCACCAACCGGACGACAACATCCACCACTACCAGCACCACCTCGACAAACACTACGACGTTTAGCTCCGGAAGAAGTAATGCAACCAACTAAAGCACAGAAGGCCTCAAAGGACACTACAATCAGATCAACGGAGCAAGCAACCAAAGAACCACCACCACTACGACAGAAAATCAACGCAGTGACACTTCCCAACGGAAAATCCATCACCCCCTACACAAACGACGACACCTCAGATAAGACCAACCCATAATCTTCGACAACGAAGGTTACGACGAAACACAGCTACTGGAAGGAATGAAACACGAGTCAAACCAAATGAAGCTACATGACGTCTAGATGCGTCTACCGTCGACGACAACGTCATCAGAGAAGCGATACCTACAAGATGGGTACACAGAAAGAAAGGACCAGGAGTACGAAGCCGAATCGTCGCAAAAGGCTACACAGAGAGGATCGAGGACGAAGACTCCGTCTACGCCTCTACACCAATGTTCACGACACTCCGGACACTTCTCGCACTACAAATGTCACGACCAAACTGGATCGCGCGACTAGGTGACGTCTCTACAGCATTTCTACACGCACCCATCGCAAAAGACCACGACGGTAATCAACGTGACGTCTACCTTTGGCCACCTAAAGAACTTTGTCCACAACAGGACAAAATCTGGCGACTAAAGAAAGCCATGTATGGACTACGCAGTTCACCAAAAGCATGGCAGGACTACCTGGCTGAAGTGTTACAGAAGCTCAGCTTTGTAAGACTAAAGTCAGAACCTAACGTCTACACCAATGCGACCCGCGACTGCTACATCATGGTCTACGTGGATGACCTCTTGGTACTTGGTGACAAGACTACTGTCGACTCCACCTTCGAGGCCATCCAGAAGCAGGTACTACTCAAGCACATCGGCTACCTCGAACCTGGCAAACCACAGCAATTTCTTGGAAGAAACGTCGACCGCTTTGGCAACTACTGCAATCTTGGACTAAAGGACTCCTACATCGACAACATGATCGAGGAGCCTGGAATGAACAACTGCAACTCCGTGAACACTCCAGGAAGCGCACACTACAAACCAACAATAGAAGATGAAGCACTACTTGACCACGAACAACACAAAAGGTACAGAAGGATTGTTGGCAAACTTCAATGGTTAGCATACACACGACCAGACATTGCATACTCCACAAAAGAACTAGCACGAGACCTCACAGCACCTACAGAACTTTCACAAAAGAGAGTCAAACATCTACTACGCTACTTGCACGGCACCAAGCACTACAAATTCACCATAGAACCAACAACAACACTCAGAGCAAACACCAACAACAGCCTGGATCTCGACGTTCATGTCGATGCCGACTGGGCAGGATGCCTACTACCAGGAAATCAACTTCAGGTTTCAACATCATCTTTTTAGGATTAACAGTTGCATTTGGCAGCAGAACACAAGCTACAATAGCACTCAGCTCAGCAGAGTCTGAACTCTACGCCATTTGCACAGGAGTGAATGAGGGACTACACCTCAGAAACTTCCTACTTGAAACCAACATTTGCAGCAAGCTAAACCTACGCATCCACACAGACTCCACAGCAGGCAAGAGCATTGCTACACGACAAGGCACTAGCAAACGAGCAAAACACATCGACCTTAAATTTCTCTACGCACAAGACCTCATCAAGCATGACATCATCAGAATCCTTAAGATCAACACACTCCACAACAGCGCAGATTTGTTTACCAAATACATCAGCAAAGAAACACTACACAGGCTCATCCAGAGCATTGGAATACGCATCTAGCACTACGAACGACCAGCACAGCAGTTTCACAACAACAACAACGACTTTGGACATTTTATGTATGTAAGTAGCTACATGTAACACGACACTTTTGGTATGTAAGTAACAGTAACTACATGTACTTTCACTTGCACTTTTGGCGGCTTGAGTCAACACTACAGTTGTTTGTTTTACATGTCTGCATTCGCCGACTGCCTGGTAGCAACTACTTAGGCTCATTTGTTTTGCCCCGTTTCACTACATTTTGCATTCCACTGCAGCCATGGCCGCTCCATCTACTGCAGATGCTACGATGGGAGATGCGCCTACACCCGACAGGGCGTCTACACCAGAGGTGGCGGTCACTACAGACTCCAGTGACCATGGAACACCACCACCTCAAACCTACAACGACTTCAACTACCACTTCAACCATTCTACACCTGGCAACACCGTCTACTACAACCCGACCACAGTGATGGACCAACTACACATCACTGAACCACATTCCCTACACGCAATTTTTCACTGCATTTACACTTGAAGAGTATCAACTACTCTCACAACAACAAGCTACTCCACTGGCACAACTGGACTACACACGACCCATTCACTGCATCCCTGGAGATCTTCGGATGCCACACTACAATTCTACACTGCTCAGCATTTCATTACCTGAAGCAGCCAATGTCCACTACTACCACACGACTTCACTCCACACTACAACTGGCGACAACACCAACTACGTCATCATCCAACTCCAGATTGAACAACCACTACTCCTGAGGTACCTCACTTCAGGACAATTTCTACACTTCACAAGGGACTACATCTCCTACATAATGTCGGTACAACACAACTACTACCTCCCGACTACAACACTGCCACAGACCATCTTCAAGGTGAACTACAACATGACCACCTTCACTGACAACTACAGCCTCAGGAACAACTACGTTTGGAATTACCACATGCCACTACTTCTACCTGAACTACTCCATTACCTTTACAACCGAGACCAACTACACGACTTCCAGCGCAAAGCAATCACTACAATCCTCTGCAAAAGCATCCAACACTACGGATTCACACTACTCACAATGACCAACCTCACACAACACCACAAAGCACTACTACACCGCTTTCTACGGGACTACGACCAACACATGTCGTGTCCCGAGATTGATGATGAGCGACTACGGGGAGCTACATGACAACCTTTTTCACCACCAACGACTACGCGACCTTGGACAGTCGACTACAGATGGTCCAAGCCTACCGCACCCAGAAATGGGGACTACATTTTTGAGCTTCTGCTCTACTACAACGAGTGCCTGCCTTCACTACTTCCGTCCAGCGCCCTACATCGAGCTTCACTTTGCACTCTTGTTGCATGTATGTTCACTACCGCAGGCCTTGAGCCTACTACTCCGCATGAGTCAAAAGGTTGGCAGCTGCAGACTACATTGGTTGACTGTTTGTTTGAACACTACAGCACTTGCACTTGTAAGCAAAGTAACAACTGATTTTAACGGAGAGAGAGAGAGAGAGAGAGGGAGAGGGAGAGGGAGAGGGAGAGGGAGAGGGAGAGGGAGAGGGAGAGGGAGAGGGAGAGGGAGAGGGAGAGAGACAGAGAACAGACGAAGGGAAGAGGGAGAGGAGAGGGAGAGGGAGAGGGAGAGGGAGAGGGAGAGGGAGAGGGAGAGGGAGAGGGAGAAGGAGAGGGAGGGAGAGGGAAGGAGGGAAGGAGGGAGGGAGGGAGGGAAGGAGGGAAGGAGGGAAGCAGGGAAGCAGGGAAGGAGGGAAGGAGGGAAGGAGGGGAGGGAAGGAGGGAGGCCAGGAAAAAAGCAGGGAAGGGCAGGAGCGAGGCAAGGAAGGAGGGAAGGAGGGAAGGAGAGAAGAAGGGGAGGAGGGGAGGAGGGGACGAGGGGAGGAGGGGAGGAGGGAAGGAGGGAAGGAGGGGAGGAGGGAAGGAGGGGCGGAGGGAGGAGGATGGAGAGAGAAAGAGAGAGAAGGAGAGAAGAGAGAGAGAGAGAGAGAGAGAGAGAGAGAGAGAGAGAGAGAGAGAGAGAGAGAGAGAGAGAGAGGGGGGGAGGAGAATAGAGGCCACAAAAAGGCAGGGGCCAATTTGCATGTGTTCTTGTGGGAGAGGACTCAGACTATGCAAGGACAGTAGCTGCTATGCAAGGGCCTGGATTCTTTGGATCTAGTCAGACCTTGTGTGGCCTTGCCTGCCTCGCCGACAAATGGGTCTATACTGTATGGGGAACCCCCCAATGCAGGGTTTCACTTTGGTTTCCCTTTCAGTTCTTCCTCATCTTTGTCCGCTTTTCAAAGGCTGTTATTGTCTCTTGGCTCGGCTTTTGGCTACTTGGCTTTTCACTTGGCTCTTTTGACTTCAGCGTTTAGTTTCCTGCACCCATATTAACCATCAGGCTTGGACCAACTCCACCCCAAACAAACCCCAAAGACTTTGTGCGGGTCTATTTGGCTCGAGTGTTGGACAACCCGTATGGGAATTACTTAGCCCTAAACCCACACTAGACCAAGCCAACATGGATTGCAAGCTGACTCTAAACCCATCCAACACACTCCCGAACCCACACAAAACCCATCTGAAACCCACCCTAAATCACTCGAACCAATGCGATATTCCGCCTGCAACCAAACCCGACTTACACCCATGCCAAAGCAACGTTCGCTGACCGGAGGCTGCGACTCAATCAGGTCAGAAGAGACATTTGCAACGGGCAACTCACATGTCGGGGAGGGCAGCCCCAGTGTCGACTGACGTTTCTTTTGCCCAGGAGCTGAACAGCAAGCACACCTTCAATATGCTGGATCCGGTCCTTTGTGCGCCTGGTAGCATTCAGGTAGATAGCCAAAGGTTTATTGGTTGTCGTATCAGCCACTGAGCAGAGGTAGCAGGCTTTGCTTTGCGAGCCTTGAGGATTGACGTCGCCGGCTTGTGATCAAGCGCGCACTTCACATGTGGCAATTTGATTGTTGACTTGCAGACATCAGAGAAGAACACACCTGCAGCCAACAGCATTTGTGTTCCTTGCCTTTTCTCGCTGCTGGCCTGCGCACAAAGCATGAGCTTGATTCCTTTGCATCTGTCCTTCCTATCCGAGGCATTCGCACACCAAAGCAACTACCACAGCCGACATGTAAGAGCCAGAGTTGCCTTCTGAGGGCCTTGTGACAAAATTCCATCACCAGGTCCCCGTTCGGTATGGGCAATGGGGCGCTGAAGTCGAAAGCCTCCGCGCCATCAAAGTCCTTCCGCATGGCGCAGCCTGCGCACGTCGTTGTGGTGGCTGGGCCCCCTGCGGCGGGGTTGCTTGGCGGAACAGGGAGCTCAGGAAAGGGGGTCCAGGTGCTTCATTGCCGTTTGATCGTGGCTGGCTCACATCTCGAAAAGGGACTGTCCCGGATCCACAGGTGCAGGAACCTTCTGTTCGCACAAAGATCCAGGATTCGTGTTGCCCCGTTGCGAGGAAGGGAACCTTGTGCGATGGCCTCAAGAAGCGGTACGGCCTTGTACACATCTCGCCCGGGCAGATATTGAGAGATGAGGTGAAGAAGGAGACAAACTTGGGACTGCAGGTTAGAGGGGCCTGAAAAGGTCGCTCATGGAAACGGACATTGGAGGGCTACTGTTTTGTTTGGGAGGCCGTTGGTCCACTTCCATTTTGTTTGCGAGATTTGTACGCTGGACACGTCGTTTCTCACCGAGTTGTGAGGGGCAAACTGTTTCAAGGCGATCCATGCAACATGTTGTGGGAGCAGACTACTTCCCTGGAGATTGCAGAAATGCGCAGCAAGCCATATTGGTGCCTGGATAGTTCGAACACACACACACACAGATTGATTGAGTGAAATGGAGACATGCTTTGCATTTGTATGGTATGTCAGAGTTTGACATTCTGCCGCGGTGCTTGCAGCCAGTGCTCCAAAGGAGAACAAGTGCCTGCGTGGGAAGTTTGCAAATGCAGCCCCTGACAAGTTTTGTGATTGTCTGTCGTTGTCTAGCAGTCCTTCATAAGGACAGTACATGTTTGCGGTATTCTCAGGAAGGCTAGCCAGACTCATCAACAATCACTACTATAGACGATGGACAAGTCAAGTGCAGTTTCCGACACCCTATTCAATTTGATGCCAGCACATTCGCGGGTATGTTGCAGGAAGCCCTTCGAAGTGCAGAGTATCTGTGGGTGCATGGTTACACAGCCGTTGCTTTTAACATCCGCACGTTCTTTGGCCTTCGCTGGCAACTCGGGAATTCACTGTAGCATGGCAACTTCTTGTCTTGTTGTTGCGGTTTGCAGAAAGGCACCCCCAATCATTTTTGCTGCGCACCTCGAGGGGTAGCATACATATACATATGGCAGGGACAGAGACACATACCTCACACACTTGTTTGTATCTCTTTCCCTCTCTCCCTCTCTACATATATATCTATATCTATATCTACATAGTTTTGCTTAATTCTCCTATGTGGAAAGGAATTCCTACAAGCATTCACACTGAACATACGAATAACATCTGATTTGTTTCGTTATCAAACTGTATTTGAATTCCAAGCAAATGCAGTCAAACTCCTTTTTGTCAATACATCCTTTTTAAATTCAATCTCAAACTAGAAACTCTAAATCAATTCCTTCATCATCAATTATATTGTAAATTCAACACAATATGAATCAAACGCGTATTATGAAAGGCTGTCTGTTATACTTCTAATTGAACATTGAATTTCCAATTGAATTGTGTCCTCTTTGGATCTTCCTTAGAGTCCGTGTCAGTTCGAGCTAAATTTGATTTGTTCCGAAAGGAGTACCTGACCTATTTGATTTCGAACTCAACATAGCCTTCTACTTGAGTTCCCCTTATTACACTCTATTTAGATTGTAGTTAATTTGGCATTCAATCAAAGTCCACAAATGAACCCTGGTATGAACCCCTAAGTTGTGGGCTAATGTACCGTTTGTTCTGGGTCAATGGATATCAGCCGCCAAAGGGTCCAAGATGGACATGGGTTCAAGACTGGACCTACACATTTAGCCTTGGATTAAAACCATGTTTGGTTTCCTATTGAGATTCTAGCTTGGGATATGATTTATAGTGTTTGTACCTTATTAGATTCCCAATGGTTTAATCAAGTTCAATTTGAATAATATTTGGGAAGGAATTTCCATTAAAGTTCCATTTTAACCAGTCTTGCGGATGCCTTGCGTTGCCATCAAGTTCCTCCTATTGTCATGGGGAAGCAGACAGTCTGCTTGTGACGACTCCCTGCAAGGTCAGGCGGCACGTGCACGAGGGCACTCTTGTGCCGAACTCGCTAGTCACTGGCTGAGTTGGCAAACTTTAAACTGAGACCCTTTGTGGTTTCTATGGGCCCTCAACAGTTTTGGCTTCACGCAAGTAAGGTCATGAGGATCATGCAGGAGAGGCTGTGTAAGCCGGATGTGATGAATCGGGGCTGCTTGCTGGACAACTTCCCTCTGACGGCAGAGCAAGCCAATGCGTTTGTGACTTTCCAGATTGAGAAGGTGCTGTTGGTGGACGTGCCAGAGGAGGACCTGATCGTTCGCGCCACGCAGCGACGCTTGGACCCCCTGACCGGGCGGATCTACCACCTGAAGTACCGGCCGCCCCCCAGGGAGATCTCAGCTCGCCTGGTGCAGAGGGATGACGATAGCGAGGAGTCTGTCGCGAAGCGGCTGGCGGAGTACAAGCGCCACATCCAGGCCACTCTGCCTTTCTTTGAAGGGAAGGTCGTCAGGCTGGACGGAACCAAAGCTCCCGCAGAGGTCGTGGATTTGGCCTGCGTGGCACTGGACAGTCTAGAGTGGACCAGCGAGGATTTGCCATACTTTGGCAATGCCGCCTTCGCTGGTCCATTTTCCATGGAGAAGGCAACTCGCGCTGGATTCTACTCTCCCGAACATCTCCCGGACGAAGGGGATAAGGCGGTATGCTTTCAGCGCGGGGCAAATTGGCAAAGAAGGGGCAAGGTTGCAGAGATTTCTGAGCGCCAGAGCGATGGCAAGAGTGGATTGAGGAAGGGCTTTGATGCTTGCTTGCCGGAGCCAATCTTTCGACCTTTGTGCTTTTCCATGCTTCTTTCAGTTGCTAAGGTCTCCAAATGTGATCACCCTTCAAAGCTGCCAAGTGCTTTGGTAAGGATGGAGTTCTGGTCAGCGTGACCGACGGGTCTGGGAGTTTCTCTTGCTGGTCGGCCTTTTTGGCACCCATGAACGACCGGGAGTACTCCTCGCTGTGCACCACCCACGGGTTGCTGTCTTCGAACTTTTGCGCGCTCTACCCCTGCAGCAAGGGCGTGGGGGACGTGGACTTTGTCTCTAAGGAAAGGCCGAGGCGAAACTTTGGCGGTCTCAGACTGCAAGAACTGCTTGATGGAAGCTTTTAGGAGGTAGGAGCTTTGAGATCTCTTTCTTGCTCCGAATGATCCTGTGTGTGAACAAGAGAGAGGATCCAGACAGCAGGGAGTAGGGTGGTCCTTTTTAGACTGCTTTGCTCACCCTTCAGTGTAGTTTTCCACAGAGCCCAAACGCAAATTTGGATACTCCTAGCTCCTTGGCTCCCTTCCAACCACTAGCAACCTCAGTCCCGTTCCAATCATGTAGGTCCTTACACGTGAACTCAAGCAATGCCCAAGCAGTCGCCTTCTCCAAGATCCAAGAGGCACCAGCGGCCAGGAGGCCGCCCGGCAGAGTCTCCAGAAGTGGCTGGCGGAGTTGGAGGACTCGGAGGGCGAGGCCCTCGAGGTCAACGAGGCTGGCGCCGTCTGGCGCGCGCATGGGGTCCGTTTTTTGGGAGGCGAAGGGTTCCCCTTTTCGGGACAGTACATCCATGGTGGTGCAGGTTTTGCGAGCGCTTGCCCTGACTTTTGAAGTTCTTGTATTGCGCTATTATGTACAAGTCAACTTGATTTGACTCCAACAGCCTCCTCCTACGCCGTTGGGCGGGAGTCAGCCCAGTGGCCTCGAATTCACGCAAGGCGCAGTCTAGCTGCAAGCAGTGGACAGGTAGGGCCCCAACCACCCTGAGGGTTTTGCTTGCAGCCGATTTTTGGAGCCTTGTTGCGATTCTCTGCAAGACACCTCGCCATGGGCTGTTTGTGGCCCAGAGGGAGTTTCGGGGCTTTAAAGACCAAAGGAGCAAAAGTGTCTGTTGTTTCTTCTGTTTTGTTTTGTTTTCTGGGTTCTTTGAGGCAAACCCGTGCAAAGTGGTTGGACATGAAGCCCCTGAACGATGTCCACCAAAGGGCCCGCAATTGAAACTGTCATACCCATGCACGGTCTCCAAATTGCGGGGGCCCTTCTTTTTGGTTTCCTGTGGCATTTATGACCATGTGGTGCATGCGATATTCATGTGAATGCAGAATCGACACCGATTCGTGTGGAAGCGTAGGGGCAGTCCCATCCATAGCGGATACCCCTCGTTCGATTCTTTGCAGCGGTTTGTGGTAAACCTTTAGTAGCACGCTTCTATGTCCCTTTCGCAAGCTGAGTGAAAGTGAAAGCGTATAGATTGAGATTAGTGAGGATTGGTCTCTCTTGGACCGCAATTCGTTGCACGTGAAAGCCAAGTTCCCAGAGGAGACCATGGAGATGGTTCTGAAGCTGTTTGCCTCCCAGGAGGCGGCACATCTTCCCATTCCCTTGGTGAGCCCGGAGAAAGAGTCGTGCCGGTTGGAATCTGTGTTTGGATCCGTTAGTGGCCAACCATTTCTGAGCTCCCCATTGAAACTAATCACGTCCTTTTGTCCGTTCGCAGTGTTGCGTTCGGTACAATTTTGTCTTGCCAGCTCATGCAACTCTTTGTGGATACCAGCATTCTCAGCAGTGCAACAATAGAGGCGCAGAAAGTATGATCATTCCAGAGCACGCCTTGAAAGACAAGGTTTGTACACCAGCAAGGGGCCATATGAACAGTTGGGAGGAGTCCTCCCTGTACCTCTACACCACCAATCAGAAGCTGGGCCGCCGGATCAGCCTTGTCACTGGTCAGGACTATTCCATTTACTATCGCGCCCTCAACAACACCTTGAACTGCGACGCAGCGCGGAATCTCTCCAATGCCATGCCCCTAGTGCAGCGCATGATCTTCTCGCTGCTCTACAACGAGAAGGATTCCTCCATGAGGTACCATGCGGGCGGCCGGGTTTGGAAGGGCGACACGCAGAGACCGGTTCCTTTGAATATGCAAAAGTTGCGGGAGGCGCAGCGATTGGAGAAGATTATTCGCTTCAGACAGTTCCAAAGCACAACGGACGACAAAGCCCTGGCCGAGAAGTACCGGACACGGGAGGATGGCCGAGGGTATTTGTGGATCATTGACATACCCAGCCATTTCTGGGGTGCCAGGGATATACATGACATTTCATGGAAGAACAAGGAGAGTGAGACGCTGTTTCCCCCGTACTCCGCTTTTCGAGTTCAAAGCTTGGATGAGAACCAGTGCCACCTGCTGGCTGTGGCCACAAAGCGGCAATTTTAGCCCTGCGATTTCTGTCTTTTGGCCTATCTGGCTTGTTTTGGGCTTTGGCTGTAGGCACTGCTTGATCTTGAGGCAGAGGAAGTGAACAAGACAATACATGCATCCTGCTTTCCCTTGGTTTATGTTGGTACACTCAGGACCGCAGATCGGAGCTCACTGACAGAGCGGAGCGTCATGGTTGGGGAGGTACAAGAGAGCTGCAAATTTAATCGAAGTTGCATGCGGACCTTGTGCATTTGAATATCGAATTTGCCTGGGCGTGGTGTGCCAGATTGTCACATGGGCATGGGGCAAAATGAAACCACTAGGGGACCGCTGGTTTAGTGCTATTTCCATTTACCAGGGTTCCCATTTGCGGCGCGCAATTTTGACCCACAGCCATATTTTTATTGGCCACCAGTCTGGATGTCTCTGTCCCCCGCCAAGCGGATGGGATCGTCTCGAGACGGATACGCAGATGCCGAGAGAAAGTGCAGAGAAGCTGCCTTTGGGCACTGGCAAAGGTTCAGCCATGCATAAAGAGTTGCTTGAAGAAATGACCTGGTTCTCCCGGTTGACTGCCTGTTGGACTGAAGAGAAGGTAAGTTTCAGGGTTGATGATTTAGGCCACCTTCTTGATGCAATGGAGATCCTCTATGTGAATGAGAAGTACAATGGTCCTTGAGTCCGCACAGGTCGCACGGGTTTTGTCCAGGTTCGGATTTTATGATGATGATGGATGCGTACCAGATCCACATGACGCGGAGTCATAGCAGGAGGGGAACAGAAGATGGGATCTCACCAACGTGGCCGACAGTTCAGTTTGACAAGCTCTTCCTGGAGTAGGTTAGGTTGAATCGGTTGGCTGACACGCCTTTTGAATGCCCACGCCGCCGAACACTGGGAAGGGTAACTGCTGACGGCGACATTGCCTTAGCTGCTGAAAGCAAAGCGGATCCTGGTTTTTGTCCTGACTCTATGTGCCGCGTGAGTGCGACTGTTTTTAGAAGACAATAAATGTTTCCTGAGAGCACAATACCCTGGATCAGATGGCTGACCACGCAAGAGTGTGCATTTGCGTGGCTTTCGAGTTGATTACATCAAACAGTCCAGTCGAAGAAGGGTTGGGCATTTACATTTCTTCACAAGCAACATGAGCAAGAACCCCTTCTAAGGAGGCTCGAAGAAGCCTTCCTGGGGTGTTGGGGCTTGTGGCTTCATCCCCATCGCTCCTCCTTCCCCAAAGCCAGACACTGTTTTGCACTGCGTTCGCATGCGCTACATCGTTCTCAGAAATCGAAACAGATACATTTAGAGCCTATTTCAGCTTGGCAAGTGTTTATCAGTTGGTTGTCGACGCATGCCAAGTTGCAAAGAGCACGCTCTGATTTCTACACATTGCGTATCAGCGTCGAGACAACGCACTGCGACCAAGAACGATCCCAGGAGCACGGTGCCATTGGCGGCAGTGCTGCAGGGGGCTGGGCCGCACCTTTGCCCTGGAGGTGAGGGTGATCTTGGGCTGGGCCTGAAAGGGCCACCGTTTGGGATTCCTGTTAGGGAGCCAAAAGCGCATGCGGCACTGTATGCCACATATCAGATTTACAGCATCGTTCGAACACTCAAGTGGAGCCAGTTCGGGGTGGCAGGTTGTATTGCGGTGAATGATGTCACAGCTGGAAACATGCATCCATCCTAATGAAAGCAGAGTGTGTGATTTTTGCGCAGTTGACAAGTCGATAGTGTTTTGAATCATTTGACATGCGGGAGTTTCATCTTAATGAGGCAACTTCTTTGAAGGCGGCTCCAATTGCGGCAAAAGTCGAAGTGGGTTTTTGTACGCCGACAGGTGGTGTCCGTCTGAAGACGAAATTCGCCGAACCCTACCGACGGTCGGGTCCAGGCAACCACCACCCGGTGGCGCCTCCGGGGGCCACGCCCTTTCAGATGGCCTCGGTGGCCTCGAGCTCGCTCTTCGTGGTGCGCCTCAAGGCGGGGGGGTCGCTAGGGGGTGTTCGCTTGGGGGAGAGGGCGGTGGAATCAGGGGGGTGGGGTGCGTGGCTGCGGGTCAAAACAAATAAATTTGCCACCCATTTTAGTCTATTTTAGTGGGGATTGGGATGTTCACGGGGGGTACGGGATTTTTACGTATGGCCATATGATGTTGGGGGGGGAGGTTGGGAGATTGGCGGTGCCATCCACTGAGGTTTGGCTTGAGCATGCCCCGGCAGGAGTTGTGCATTCCCACCGTGGTGGCCATCACGGGCAACGCGATTGGCGGCGGTGTTGCAGTGTGCTTCGCTGAGCAGAGCGGGGCTGAAGGTCATTGCTTAACGGGTCTCGTACTTGCTTACCCATCTCGCGATCACTCCGGTTCTTGTTTTTCACGTCCCTCCCCCCCCCACCACAAGCTGTGCAAGCTGATGTATCTACGAGCGCATGTCTGTGGCTTGTGGCAGTTGACTCTGATGCCCAGGTCGTTGAACAACACCGAGCGGGTGCTTGCGCAGAACGGCACGGCAGCATTTGGAAACATTAGCAGAGGCGCCTGCAAGTGTTTTGCCAATGGCCATGTTTTCCCATGCATCATCTTCTGCAAACGGGGCATTCTTCTGCGCGGTGCTAGCCTTATGCTATGTGAGTGCTCAGACTTCCGTTTGATACGCTCGTTTTGGCGCAGGCGCCTGTCCCATCATGATGCTCTCCAAACATCTTCCACAGCATGTGGGACTGACAGCGGCGTCCAGGGGCCCAGATCAGGGACCTGATGTTACGCTGCTGACCCAATAATCTCTTCATGACTCACAATGAAGACAAACACGCACACAACACAAACACAAAAGCAGGACTGATTTCGGTGGCTGGACACATGCGAATGCCAATTGTCGTTTTGGCAAGCAACGCACAACTTGCTTCTCCTTTCCGCCCGCACCCTGAGCACTGTCTGGCTGTCTGGGAGCGGGAGCGTATCCACTTTTTATGGACCTTAGTTTGCAAGTTTTGTTTTTGCCGTTTCTGCTTTGATTGTTTGGCATTTCGGTTGGAATGGTTCTGCCTACAATCCAATTCGCAGGCCTTTTCCAGCCACAGCAGTTGAAGTAAGAGGATATTTGAGCAAAGACATTATTGCGAGGACATTTGATGTGCTTGTCGCCTGGAGCAGACTACACAATTTTCCTTAGATTCCCACGGAAGGAAGGAGTGAAGGCAGGCAGGCAGGCAGGCAGGCATGAAGGAAGGAAGAAAGGGAAAGGAAAGGAACCGCAAGGAAAGCAAAGGAAAGGAAAGGAAGGAAAAGGAAGGGAAGGGAAAGGAAAAATAAGGGAAGGGAAAGGAAGGAAAAGAAAGGGAAGGGAAAGGAAGGGAAGGGAGAGGAAGAAAGACAGTGTCAAGTCAGCTGGACGTGTCCCTTAGAACGTGTTCTGGCTGAAGCGCCACAAAGCTGGGTTCGTCTGGCAGAGTTTTCTCGCACAGAGACAAGCTGAATGGTTGATTCCTTGAATTCTTGCGCAAAAGAGTTGCTCCTAAAAGAGTTGCTCCGATGCTTGTAACTTTTCGCAGGGCTTTAGGGAGCCCTTCTAAGGATTGACATCTACCTTACTGACGCCACTTTCAGTGCGAATGCTGTGCTCAAGGCCTGGGTGGTCCAAGCCAAGCTTCTCCCCCCCTCCAACCGGAGTCAAATGACAGAGCTTCGCAAAAGTCGATTCACCCAAGCTGAATGCGGACAACGTCTTTGTGTTTTGTTTTTGTTGGGGGGGGGTTGCGGGTTCCATCGAAATCATTGAAACATCTCAATGATATCAGGTTGGGGATGCCCTATACAAGGGAATTCATGCATCCATTGATCCCAATCATGTTGAACGCAGTCACAAGACATGCCACTCTTCAAATGCGGTGATGTGGGCCTAGCTTGTGGCCCACCCACAAAGCTGGGGCTCGAACCTTCTGCGGGTAGGCCGGCATGGTCAGCCGAATCAGCGCGGACATCAGGCGCGGATGTTGCCAAGAAAGGACTAAGTGGGAAGTGGAGATGACCCACGTCTCTAGCGCATATGGCGGCTATGGGACTAGTGCGATTATTGCAGAACTCTTCCGTGAGCTGAGCTCGGGTTGGCTTGAGATGAGGTCAACCAAAGCTACTGCTTTGGCAATGGCCCACGGCTCGGGATGCTGAGAGCGGCCTACTTTGGAGCGTTCTCGGGACGTGAGTAGTACCGCCCTAAAATGTGGTTTTCCTTTTGGTCTGCCTTTAAACCAACCCGAAAAAGGGTACCCTCAAAAGACACCCACGCCCATCGCTTTGAGTGAGTCCGCCAGATTGTCGGAAGGAGCTGGGCGGCGCTGCCCGAGTGGGTGTTCAGTTCCCCCCCGAAGGAAGCCATTCCTTTGGAGACATATGGGTATGGCTCAAAAAAACGGTACCAAAATGGAACCCTGGTAAGTGGACCTGCGGAACCCTAGCTCTTTAATTTTGAGCCACTGCCATATCTACGCGCAGCTTTGCCGCGCGCGCATTCTGCGCCAAAAACTTCAGGCGCGGAGGTGGGCCGCATTCCCTGGTGCTCGTCTGGCGGTGATGGTCCAGCCCACTTTGTCGGCTCGTGGCCCAAGTCGGAAGCACCTGAGCGGTGATTTGCCGTCAAACTTTAGAGCCTCCGGCTCAGTCCGCCGACTCGCATTGTCCTTTTCTCCTTCCTCTCTCCCTTGTCTCCCTCGTGTGTTCTGTCGTCCTGTCTCCCTCCCTCTGCTCCCCATCCTCCCCATCTCCCCAAGCCTCTCTCTCCTCAGTCTCCCTCTCTCTGTCTCTCTCTGTCTCTCTCTGTCTCTCTCCGTCTCTCTCTGTCTCTCTCTGTCTCTCTCTGTCTCTCTCCTATCTCTCTCTCTCTGCGTGTCTGTCTCTCTCTCTCTCTCTCTCTCTCTCTCTTTCTCTCTCTCTCTCTCTGCATTGCAGCGTCACGTCCCCCCTGAGTTGCATCGATATCCGGGCACTGCCCCTTCATGACCCTGTACTGGCTTTCCCCTTGATTTCCCCTTCATGTCCTTTTCACGTTTCCCATGATGTCCTGGTCAATGTCCCTTCCATTCCTTTCAATTCCCCCTTCATGTCCCTGACATTTTCTCGGTATGTCCGCGCCATTTTCCATGTATGTCCCGTTCTTTCGTTGCGAGTCATTTCCCTACATCTCCTGTCGTGTCGATTGGTTTCATTGTGCTTGGTTTCCCTGTCATTCTTCCTGCCTCCCCTTGTTTTCATTTCTGTCCCTGTCACGTCCCTTTCAGTTCCCCTTTGATTCCCTTTCATTTCCCGTTGCTTTCCTGACATGTCGACTT